AGGAGGGCTTTTAATGTATCTTATAAGAATAAAAATCCACTTTAATTAAAATGCTTCTATAAGAAATTCCGTTCCTTTGCATACTTGCACATGTATAAAAATTTAGATCATGACTGAGTAGATATACATATTAAAAATCTAAAGAAGATAACAGTATATTGAAATTCCAACTAACCCGCTTAAATTCTTAACTATGTTTCATAACTATAAGATTTTTATGGCATGTAGTAATTAGGGTAATTCTACATGTAAAAACTGGCAATTTATGTATAGTACTCACATGTCTAGTTTAGGTAAAAAAATAAATAAAAATAATCTAGATTTTTTGCTAGTTTGATACAAACGGAGTTTCTAGCTTGCATTATAATATCATTTACGTAAAAGAAAAAATATAAACAGACGCAACATTGTGCGTAACGTCTATACGAGTAATTATATAATATCTTAAAGAGAAAAATGCCCATTATGTACATTGCTACACTGTCATTAATTGCAGACTGTCGTGCTTCTGGTCGGAGCAAATGATGTTGCTTTCAATGTGCCGTCTCATATAGCTTATGACATACGTGCACTCTGTGAGACCATCCATTCAATAAATCCTGGGTAAGTTTTTTTGTTTGTCTTTTTTTTTCTTTTTTTTTTTTTGGGGGGGAGAGGGGGTGACAGGTAGGTTCGGGTTACGTCACATATTGAGACTTTCCAGCTTTCTTGTAATTTCATAATTGGTTTATACAGTTTTTTTAGTTCGATTGTGCAGGAAGCTATAAGCTTATAGACACACTTTCGAATCCGTTCCTGGGAGATGAGTGTAATGTTTCTTGCTGAAGGAAACAACAAATTGCCCCTGAAGGGGTTTGAACCCATGCGGCTAGCGATAATGAAATTACTATTACTAGTTCACCGCATTAACCACTCGGCCATGCTTTTTGATAATTGACATGCTTTCGTTGATTGAATTTTTAGCTTTAAAAAAGAGAAAAAGTTTTAATGTCGCATTATTAAAGGCACATAATGCCCAAGAAACGAATAAATTTTTCCTGGCTTAGAAAGGGCAGAGTTTAATTTATGGCTTATGTTTATGTCACATGAAATAAGTAACGTTGAATAACGCTGAGGGAGGACAAAAAGAAAGACCCTTTGAAGAATGAAAACAAAAGCATTTCTGTAGACAAAAGGGCATTTAATGTACTATGACTTAACTTGATGTTATAGGCAACAACCTTGCCTTGATATAATAATGATAAGAATATAGTTAGGAAAAAAATGTCTCCAGACAATGTTAAAGTAAAACGACGTCATTTTACCGGATATAACTGAAAGTGAAAATGCCACTTCAGACAAAAAAAGACACGCGTCTCCAGATAGGACCTTAAAGAAAAAAGTTAAATTAGAAATGCCAACTTTGAAATCACCAATAAAAAATCAATGTATTAACGAATTAAACACTGGAAGAAATTCCGATGTTACAGATTATGCCCCTTGGTTGACGAATTTATATTTAGATTTAAATGATAAAAAAATACTTGAAGATCAACAATGGCTGACAGACAAACATATAAATGCAACAATGACGATATTAAAAAGGCAATTTCCGAACATTCATGGTTTGCAGGATACTAAATTAGCACCTTTTTTCTTAGACAATAAGAAAATTTGGAATGTTGACAGAAAATTTGCTAGACAAATTGAATACCCTTCTGTACAAATACATTTTGACGGCAGTTGTCACTGGACAGTCAGTATGAAATCAATAGATGACTTGAATTTTATATATTATTTAGACAGTTTAGGGGAAAACCTTAAACTATTAAAAAATAACATTCAGATCCAATTATCACAACTTTATTCAAGTGAAAAAAATAATTTATGCGTTAAAGTTCCAAGAGTACAACAACAACCAAATAGCAACGATTGTGGACTATTTGCAATAGCACAAACTGTAGATTTCTGTTATAGTGGCGGCAGATTCAATTTTAAACATCAATATATTGTTTCAGAAATGCGCGAACATTTGTTTCATTGTTTTGTTAATGAAAAAATGTCTCCTTTCCCAAAAGAAAATAGTAAGTTTCAGAGGCCCGCATCTTTTCAAGGTATCCATAGGTCATTTAAAATCAAGACAACCTGTATGTGTGAAATGCCGGAATTTGTAGACAATATGATTCAATGTGATAATAGAAAATGTCGGAAGTGGTTCCATCAAAAATGTGTAGGTGTTAAACATAAACCAAAATCATTAGAAAAGCAATTTCCCTGGGAATGTTTTTATTGTCATAATATTAATTAAATGTAGGAATGTACTAAAAATGGGATGACTTTGTTTCAACGAAAAGCGGCACGCTTCCAGCTGAGTAATAAACCAAAAAGTAAAACATACAGAAATATGTTTACTTTAAAAATATATATAAATATTCACAATACATTATATGTCATTATGTATTGTTTACATACGTGTATTTGATATGATTCACGACAAAACGCAACGTTATTCTTTTTAAAATAACCTTTACATACAGTAGATATGATGCTAGTGGTATTAGTTTCGTATTAAGTAGATCTATTCGAATGACTATTCTTAACTTATTGAACTTTATAGAAATATTCAGGTAAGATAGTTTCACCCATTTGTTTATTTATTTACTCATTAAATTTACATTTTTTACGCTGCGTTTTTATTGACGCTATAAATTATAAACGAAAAAATGTCATACGTTCTGGATATTCTTTGACCTTATAATATTTAATGCGATTATGAACAGATAGAACGGTAATGAAAATAAGTGGATTTGTTTTAACCTTTTTCCCTTTTCAAAGCATTGTGTTATAGCCAGGATAAATGTTTCGTACCTGCAATAGAACTTATTATTTCCATTTGTAGATAATTATTGACTTTTATTTATAAACTAACTTACTCGATCTATCTTTATATTTGATACCTGAATAAATATACCGATTTATAGCTTTAAATTGACAGAAAATTAAAATACTTTCAATTAATGCACCATTGTCTTAGAAAGGAAAATGGCGGACTTCGCAGGCATCTTAGCGTGAAACTGATAACGATCGCTGATTAGCTTATCTCTGTGACCCCTGCCAGCTTGATTGACAGGCGGCGTAATGTTTATTTTGTTTTATTTTACATTGCATTCATTAAAAAGTAGGCCCTTATATTAACAACTTTTATTTTTTTAAATTTTATTCCTGACCGATTTTTAAAACCAAAGTTGTGCTATAAAGAATCAATTCTAATAAATTACTGAAATAATTTTTTTGTAACTTTTGTAACTTTTCTCGTGCAAAATTTATTATAAAATTTTCTCTCACTTTTTTACATAATTCCATAAATTGATTGCATAACTGTTTACTATGTTCATGTTTTTTTCCCACTTATGTACTTCGTAATTTGAGATTTAATAGCTGATTTAAATTTTATTTACATTGCCTTTAAGTAAGTGTTTTTTTGTTTATATTTGCATTTTGTATATTTCGTAAACCATTGTTTTTGCCTTTTCCATTTGTCAGTTCAACAGGTCATTTTTCAATTCAACAGATTTGATTATTTCAAACATCGTTTTTTTTGCGTTCATTAAAAAGTAGGGCCTTATATTAACAGTTTTTTATGTTTTAAATTTTTATTCCAGACAGATTTTTGAAACCAAAATTGTGCTATAAAGAAATCAATTCTAATAAATTTCTGAAATAATTTTTTTGTAACTTTTGTTAGTTTTCTCGTGCAAAATTTATTATAAAATTTTCTCTTACTTTTTTACATTATGCCATAAATTGATTGCATAAATGTTTACTATGTTCATGTTTTATTTTCACTTATATACTTCGTAATTTGACATTTATTAGCTGATTTAATTTTATTTACATTGCCTTTAAGTGTGTTTTTTTTTGTTTTGTTTATATTTGCATTTTGTATATTTCGTAAACCATTATTTTTGCCTTTTCCATTTGTCAGTTCAACAGATTTGATTATTTTTAACATCGTTTTTCTTTGCATTCAGGAAAAAGTAGGCTTTTTTTATGTTGTAAATTTTTTATTTCTGGACAGAAGTTGACGATTTTTTCCATTCTAATAGATTTCTTTAATTATTTTTTTGTTACCTTTCTAACTTTTCATGTGCATTTTTTTTTGAAATACATTATCTCACATTTTTTATTTTTATAAAGTTAGGTTGGGCCACGAGAGAGTTCCTCCCCGTGGTGTGGCCTGGATATTACATTTCGCAAACAGTCAAATCCGTTATTTATTTTATTTACATCTAACCTTTGGCGAAATGTAATAACTGAACGCTCTCAACAAATTATATAAGATTTTCCACGGAGAAAAACAATAACATTTTTAAGTTAAAGTTTATTTTATTTTTAGAAAAAAAATGCTTATTGGCCACATTTTACCTATGTCGCAATTTCAATTATGTAATAAATCTTATATAATAACCTATTAATAGAGGGTTCTACTTTATCTTTACAAATATTAAGTCAAAAATGTATTTATTTCATTAAGACAATTAATTGATCATTGTTGAATTACAACTGAACAAACACATCATCTAAATTCTAAAAATATTTTTATAACTTTTAAAAAATTTCTTTCTTTTTTATTATTACTGTATTTTTTTCATCAAAAATACCCGTTAATCACTCTAATCTATTGACATCAATCACTGAAAATAAAAGTGTTATTGCCTATTGGTCATTCTGTCTAATTACGTATATAATCTGGAGACCGTCGATTTGTGTTATAACCTACTAATCGACGGTCTACTACAATTGACGGTCTTCGACGGTCTTTGGAGACCGGGGACCGTCGAAGACCGGAGACCGGAGACCGTCGATTAGTATCCCCCCTCATCCGCCTTATCATCACATTTTTTTGTATTATATTCCAGAAATTTTTGAAAAAGACATTATTTATCGGATAAATTTTGTAGTTTATAAATGCAAAGTGGATATTGAAATAGAATTAGCCAGAGATGTAGATAATCTATTCGTCTCTGAATTAGCCGACAATTAGGTTAAATGAATCCGACAACTTCCGGTATATTTTTTGACCTACTTCACGAGCATAATTATCAGCCTGTTAAGCTCATAAGGTAAGTTATAAAGCAAAATATGTTATGAATTTGATGAATAATAATATTAAGTTTATTTATTGATGCCAATTTGTTTCCGAGGACTAAAACTTTCGTAAATAATTTCGAAGTAATTTGGAGATCTCGAGTCTTTCGTACCCAAGACATTTCGATCATACTTAGAGTTAGACTGCAAATCGACAGATTTTACAAATTGATATTACACAGATGTCTGCCTTTACAGGAAAACCGGCATATATGCCTACAATTTTTTGGTCTTGTCACGGCCGTTACGTCTCTACCAAATGGGGCACATTCTTGAATATTTCAGAATAATTTTATTTTGACCTTTATAAATTATTATATATATCTATTTAAAGTCTAGCCATTTCATTTTGGGTCATCTTTTTACAATTTGAATAATTATTCTGGAAAAACGAAATGCGCAAATGATCTAAAGGTTTGTACAAAGATTAGTGTTCTAAACATTCATCAAATGGTACATTTATCTGGAAAAAATATTTCAGTTCCATCATGACAAAATACCTCAATGGAACCCCTTTAAATTGAATTACACTTTTTTTAAATGTATGGGTAAATTCCATTTTCAGTGGTTGAAATTTTTCCTCTTTTCTCATTAATCAAGCTATAGTTTCCCATTTATAAAGCCACAGGTTGTTTTGAAAGTTGAAAAAAAAATCACTGCCACCTTGATAATTGTTAACCTGAAAAATCTTCAGGCACTTAAAGGGATTTGAACCCCAGACCTCTTGATTACAAGGCAGACACACAACCATGTCGCGAAAATGTCAACACAACAGCAAGACTGTTGGAAATGATCTATACCTGTTCTCAATACATGGTTGAAGTAATTTATCAGTGTTTAAATTAGACATTTTATATGATTTAACAATTTTTGACACTACTGATATTCACATTTTTTTCACAAATCTACATGTAAAAAATAAAGATCATAATAAAATGATAGAACATTTTCTATTTTAGTGGTAATACTGTGGAGTAATATGAAGAAATATTATTAATATTTTATTATCATAAATTTTTCAAATTTTAATTTATATGTCATTACATGCTGTACACAATCATATTATTGTGTAAACATATATATACATTGTATAGACACATATATACATTGTATATACACACTAAGAGAGTAGTATTAGTAGTATTGATGAATTTCAAAATGAAATCTCTAAATTGATATTTTCAGGGAAATAAAAGATTATTTACTTTAATATTCACTTGGAAAGGCTGGTACATGTAGCTAGAAAAAAGTACAGTATAAGATTAAAGAAAGACTAGAAGATTATTACAAACAACAGGTACTTATATAATATTTAATGTATATTTCACAAACCAAACTGTTTTCCAAAAAAATTTAATGAAAACAATATTTGACCTAGAGTCATAAGATTGACAGAACAGTGGCGTGTGGGGGCATCCGTGTCCTATGGACACATTTCTAGTTTCACTTATATACTATGTAGAAATTTTGTGAACGCAACTCCTCTTAAACCGGATGGCAGATTTTGCTTAAACTTACAGGGATGAACAACCTTCAGGTGTAGATGGTAGTAAAGGAAAGAATTTTTGCTGCGACCAAATTTTACAGAATTATGGCCCTTTGTTGATTTTTTCACTATATACTATGTAGAAATTTTGTGAATGCAACTCCTCTTAAACCGGATGGCAGATTTTGCTTAAACTTCCAGGGATGAACAACCTTAATGTGTAGATGGTAGTAAAGAAAGAAATTTTTGCTGCAACCAAATTTAACAGAATTATGGCCCTTTTTTGATTTTTTCATTATATACTATGTAGAAATTTTGTGAACGCAACTCCTCTTAAACCAGATGGCAGATTTTGCTTAAACTTCCAGGGATGAACAACCTTAATGTGTAGATGGTAGTAAAGGAAGGAATTTTTTGCTGCGACCAAATTTTAGAGAATTATGGCCCTTTTTTGATTTTCAGTTTTCAACTTGTGGCACATGTAGTCCAAAAAATATTTGACCTAGAGTCATAAGATTGACAGAACAGTGGCTTGTGGGGGCATCCCCGTGTTCTATGGACACATTTCTAGCTTTTTTCTTAGTGTGATTTTATTGCTAAGATCTATTTAATTGATGGACTGTTAAGTGTTTTTAATGTTTGAAGGGATAATCTTTGAAACATTCAGATTGGTTATTAAACTAACCATTATTTACTTTATTTGTATCCAATAAGTAATTATACCTTTAAATTGTATGCCGTCGAAACAAATTAATTGTATACTGTCTGAATTGTATACACACCAGTCTCTCACAACGCATTACTCACCCCAAATGAGGGTAAAAATAACTCTGACATAAAGAAGTCTGCGTAGGGATGACAATTTTATTAATAAAACACAATATATTGTTCATTGCTTTCAAGGGCTCATTGTTTTTCAGAGTCGCAAGTGCAAATTTGATAGTTCCACTGTGTTACTATGTATTCAAATATTTAAAACTACTTTCACTTTCGGTTTTAATTTAAACGAACAATTGACGAAATACGAGTGTTGAACGAATACCAATAAAGGATTGTCAGAAGGTATGGAACGCCTGGACTGTCTTATGTTAAGATTGAATGATATACCTGGTTAAATGTCTTTCTGTTTAGTCCGAGATACAAAATGCTGGGTTGAAATCCTAATGTGCTCAGTTATTGAAGTGCTATGTTGTGTGCTGACTGTATTTTATTCAGTCAAGTCAATGTATTGTCGGGTGCATAAGTCGTCATGTTCAGTTCTTAAAACAAACAGGCATGTGGAAACACAATTATGTTGAGTTAAAAAGATATGTTGTAGGGTGTTACAGTTATTATGTTCGGTTATAATAATATGCTGTTTGGTGCTCTTCTCATCATGTTCAACCATGAAAATAAACAGTTGAGTGGTACTATCATTTTGTTTGGTTGAGGCAGTGTATTATTGGGTGATACTTTTATTATTTTCAGTTGCAATGACATGCTGTTGGGTGCTTTATTCCTTCTGTTCAGTCGTGAAAAAGAACTGTTAAATGGTACAATCATTATCTTAAATGGTACTATCATTATCTTGTGTGCTGATTATATCTTCTTCAGTCAAGTCAATGTGTTATTCGGTGCAAAGGTCGTTATGTTCAGTGGTTTTTTGGTACTATCATTCTGTTCAGTTCAGATGATATACTGTTCGGTGCAGAGGTCATTATTAGTCGCCGGTAGAAACCGGCGACTATATTTGTAACAGTTTAATATTATACCTATGGTAGGAGCAGGCATTAAAATCTGGAAATAAAAGCACAACAATTACTGAACAATTAAAGACTACAATTGTTTTCAGTAATCTCAAAAATTCAAACATACAATAATCTTGCTCAATGAAATGAAATATTCAAATATTGACATCGTAAAAAGCAACATTACAATTTTTATAAATTGAATTAATGACGTATCCCTATGGATAAGTCCTTGAATTTAGGGATGTTTTTCCTTTTTTCAAAGTGTCAAGTGTTGCTATTTTATGATAAATAAATCATGCATGATATTTGAAATGACACTTTTTAAATTATCTGGTTGTTTTTACGTTATCAGACCTATTCTATTCTTTTTTATCTTATTTATCATAAACAGCTTCTCCCAGAATCACGTGACTACACGTTGTATGTTACCGTTATAAAATCTATTAATAGTAACAAATGGCTACAGGTAACCTGTGAATGGTTTGCAGCTGATAAAAGTGCAAATCAAAGTAACTCAATGCCCCAGAGTGGGTTATGTACAGTATTGGAAGAAGAAGAAGAATTTTGTGTATGACAGGAGGGGCCGGAATCGTATTGGATACACAGAGAAAACTAATAAACTATCTTTGTGTTGATAGTTTATCGCACTGGAAGGCAATTAAACGTTAACTATATAGTAACGATCAGCTAAATAATATATTTTTTCGATAGTGCATAAGAATATTTTTTTTATGCAGACACCACTTTTATAGTAGAATTGCATTGTTTTATGCAATAATTAAGCATATATATTTTCATAGTCACTTTGCAAATATTCGATGATCGGTAATAATTTGTCGGTAATTATGGGATTCAGTATGGTACAACGGTATATGTATAAAGTAGAATTACAAGTAGAATTATAATCATATCACTTGCTTTACAAGCCTCGATGACAAGGTGTTAGATTTTAAGTTAGTTTCAAATTGAAGACTGTAGGTTCGATAAAGTGATTTTTTTATGTTTTCTTTTATAATACTTTTTGTATTTTGCAAAACTTGACCATTTATCAAAATTATGAAATAAAAAAGTGCTATAAATAAAACACACGATTAAACATTAATCATAATAAGTTATGTAAGCTAACGAAACAGATCCCGAAAATTATTGAGTCTCGGGTAAATATTGCCAAACAGTACTTCCTTATTTAATAATGATAACAGTTTCTTGACAAAATTGCTCAGCAAGTTTGCTTCAAATATGATGTTTTATTATAACATAACATGAAACTATTGCATAAAACTCTTTTACAAAGTTTATAGCAAGAAAGATATAATTGTGGCAAGTACGTGAAAACGTGTTTCTGAATAAACATTACTCAACTTATTGTTCTTCTTTTCTTTATACTCGAACAATTAAACTGATATTTTCTTTTATTTATTATGATAATGCAATCATATTTCTATCCGGCGACTTGATGCTTTAGCATCAAAATCTCTACTTGTGTTCAATAGTGAACACAAACTGTTGTGTGATACACCATTATGTTGGGTTCATTCGGATATTTTCGGGCAACAAGATGGGAGAGGTCACGTCGAGGCTAATGACCACTAAATTGCCAAAACAATTTTCTTCCCTGTAAATATTATCGGGGGGGGGGGGGGGGCTTAAGAACGTTATTTTCATAAATTGGACTTTTAAATACCCTATGGGTATTTATTAGTTAATTCATGACTTCATGACTATACTATACTGTTACAGTCATAATGGGTACAGTATATAGAAAACTTAAAATAGGGGTAAGGGTAGCCTGTTAAAGTCACACATGACCACCGTAAATAAAACTTAAAATTTATCTGTTTGGTAACCTATAAGAGTCACAAATGGACACAGCAAACGAAATTTAAAATATAAAACATCATATTCAAGTAAGGGAACCCTATTTGAGTCACACATGGCCACAGTATATGGAGCATATAAGTAAGGGTAGCCTATTAAAGTCACATATGGCCACAGCATATACAACTTAACATGTATTTGTTGGTAACCCATTTGAGTCACACATAACCACAATAAATGGAACATAATATTTAAGTAAGGGAAACCTTTTTGAGTCACACATGGCCACAGTATATGGAACATTAAATATAAGTATATAGGTAGCGCAATAAAGTCACACATACCCACATTATGAATAACATTCTATATAAGTAAGGGAAACCTAATTGAGTCACACTAGGCCAAAATATATGGAACATTATGTTTAAGTAAGGGAAACCTTTTTGAGTCACGCATAACTAAAGTATATGGAACATTATATATAAGTAAGGGTAGCCTCAAATACATTTCCCTGACTTAAACATTATGTCTAATATATTGTGGCCATATGTGACTCAATTAGGTTTCACTTACTTATATAAAATTTTCTTTACACTTTGGCCATGTTTGACTTTATTAGGCTACACTTACTTATATATAATGTTCCATTTACTGTGGTCATGTGTGTCTCAAATGGGGTTTCCATACTTATATTTAACGTTCTTTATACTGTGGCCATGTGTGACTCAAATAGGTAATTGTTTTGGCAATTTAGAGGTCATTAGCCTCGACGTGACCTATGGAAATTAGTTGCTCCCGCCCGCCATCTTGTTTGACGCGAAGAAATCCGAATGAACCCAACATAATTGTATGACCACTAAGCGCATTGTCAAATGACTTGTGCACCGAACAGTATATCATCTGAACTGAACATAATGACGGTATCACACCACAGTTTGTGTTCACTACTGAACATAATGACTTCTGCACCGAACAGAATATCATCTGAACTGAACATAATGACGGTATCACACCACAGTTTGTGTTCACTACTGAACATAATGACCTCTGCACCAAACAGGATATCATCTGAACTGAACATAATGACGGTATCACACCACAGTTTGTGTTCACTACTGACCATAATGACTTCTGCACCGAACAGAATATCATCTGAACTGAACATAATGACGGTATCACACCACAGTTTGTGTTCACTACTGACCATAATGACTTCTGCACCGAACAGAATATCATCTGAACTGAACATAATGACGGTATCACACCACAGTTTGTGTTCACTACTGACCATAATGACTTCTGCACCGAACAGAATATCATCTGAACTGAACATAATGACGGTATCACACCACAGTTTGTGTTCACTACTGAACATAATGACTTCTGCACCGAACAGAATATCATCTGAACTGAACATAATGACGGTATCACACAACAGTTTGTGTTCACTACTGACCATAATGACTTCTGCACCGAACAGAATATCATCTGAACTGAACATAATGACTTCTGCACCGAACAGAATATCATCTGAACTGAACATAATGACGGTATCACACAACAGTTTGTGTTCACTACTGAACATAATGACTTCTGCACCGAACAGTATATTATCTGAACTGAACATAATGACTTCTGCACCGAACAGTATATCATCTGAACTGAACATAATGACCTCTGCACCGAACAGTACATCATCTGAACTGAACATAATGACGGTATCACACCACAGTTTGTGTTCACTACTGAACATAATGACTTCTGCACCGAACAGAATATCATCTGAACTGAACATAATGACGGTATCACACAACAGTTTGTGTTCACTACTGACCATAATGACTTCTGCACCGAACAGTATATTATCTGAACTGAACATAATGACTTCTGCACCGAACAGAATATCATCTGAACTGAACATAATGACGGTATCACACAACAGTTTGTGTTCACTACTGAACATAATGACTTCTGCACCGAACAGTATATTATCTGAACTGAACATAATGACTTCTGCACCGAACAGTATATCATCTGAACTGAACATAATGACCTCTGCACCGAACAGTACATCATCTGAACTGAACATAATGACTTCTGCACCGAACAGAATATCATCTGAACTGAACATAATAACGGTATCACACAACATTTTGTGTTCACTACTTAACAGAATGACTTCTGCACCGAACAGTACATCATCTGAACTGAACATAATGATAGTACTATTCAACAGTTCTATTTCACGACTGAACAGTCTGAATAAAGCACCCAACAGCATGTCATTTCAACTGAAAATGATAAAAGGATCACCCAATAATACACTGCCTCAGCCAAACGAAATGATAGTACCACTTAACAGTTTATTTTCATGGTTGAACATGATGAGAAGAGCTATTTTAACCGAACATAACAACTGTCATACCCTACAACATATCTTTTTAACTCAACATAATTGTGTTACCACATGCCTGTTTGTTTTATAAACTGAACATAACGACTTATGCACCCGACAATACATTGACTTGACTGAATAAAATGTAATCAGCACACAACATTACACTTCAATAACTGAGCACATTTGGATTTCCACCCAGTATATTGGGATTTTGACCCAGCATATTGTATCTCGGACTCAACAGAATCACATTTAACCATGTATATCAGTCATTCTACACATAAGACAGTCCAGGCGTTCCATAAGAAGGAGTGTTTTGCGCATGTTTTGAGTAAAAATGATGTAAAGGCTATTACACCAACAGAGTATGGAAAAAGTTTAATTTTTCAAGTGGCCCGATTTCCGTTTTGTTCTATCACTTCGGTGTTAAAGCCGCCATGTAAAAGTAGTGCGTTCCATCATGCTTAGTGTGGTTTCACACAGGTCAGTAAGACCGGTGTACTCAATGTACTGTCTGCACATATGTGTCAGAAAAAATATCACAAAAAAGGAATTTAGTATTACTATGAGTATTTATTAAAGAAATTGTATTTCAAATCTATTTAAATAGTATTATTGAAAATCATTTTGTACGACAGACACACAAATCTAGTGCTCTGCATTATAAATGTAAGAAGAGACAAATAAGATAAGCATTTTTTTGCAAATTATTGCACTTCATATAATTTTTATTGCTTTTTTTTAAGGTGGACATGTGTCACTGTCAAGCGAAGGAAGATAAGCATCACACTCGGTGGGAATCTCCAGTTTCCAGATGTAGTGATCATAACTGTATAGGCACCATTAACACTTTGGACTAGTTGGAGTATTTTAGAGGGCTAGTCTGAATTGAATCCCCTGTCAATAGTAAAGGCCAGTCATGAACATTGTGTTGAAGGAAAATGATAAAACTCGCATTTCCCGCTTAACCAATCATTACTTTACCTTATATTCAGTGCGGTAATGTAGGAAATGGTTACTTTCTGGAATGGAGCTGTCAATTATTTTTAATTTTTTAGCTTGTTAGTGTTATCGTCGGACAGTTGTGAAGTAAAGACATCGCAGTTTGACTGTATACAAGTTGCCTTAAAGAAAGTATGTCAAAATCTTAACAGTTATTCGTTGATTTTGTAGAAATTGACCAGAATTCACCTTTGTTTACACGCATCGCTTGGACGTCGAAAACGACATGCAATGACATTTCAGTGAAATTTGGAAACTTGCTCGTATTTTGGAGCATTTTGTAGGATTTCGATGAAGTAAAAAGTGTTTATGATAGGATACATTATTCCTAGAGACAACCACAAAAATAAAATAGTGATCTGGTGTATTTTTACCGAACAGTTCTTGTTTGTTTTGCATGATATTTTTCTCTCGTTAGGGACCTTTATTCTTTATATATAGTATTATGAGCGTATATGGGTAAATGTGGTATATAGTGCCTGTGGTTTTATCATGTATCTTAGCTTGCCTGGTGTAATGAAAAGTAATAAACATGAGAATTGAAACTATGAGAATAAATTGTTGTTATTAGTCCCCTTATATTTTCATTAAGAGGGGACTAAAGGCTGACCCATTTCTGTATGTCAATGAAAGCTGAATTTTGCTATAACTTAAATGGTACAAAAGTAAGGTTCATCATACTGGTATCTGATATAGAACTATACAGAGATTTAGCATGTTATTATAATTTATGCTCCTGAAGGGGAGAGAATATAGTTGCGGTCTTAACCATCTGTCGGTATGGACTCAAGTAATTTTATGGATAAATATCTGTGTTCATTCCATACAGACTTGTACTTTTGGGGAAAAAAGTTGCTCATGCGAGGAAAATATGTTTTTAATGGTGTTTTTGAGATTTTAGTTGATAAAGGAAACAAAACATAGTCTGAACTTCGGAAGACATTTGTCCTTCACACTCTTGTCCGAAATATGAATATAACTAGATATGTATTGAAGAGATTTTATGTAAACTTCACAAAGTGATAGAGACTTTTAAGAGGAAGTGCAATGTTCAAGAAACATAACTCTACCTTGCTTCAGGTTTTAATTATATATCCCTTAAGTTAAGAATGCTTATTCCAGACTATCACTGAATCTACATCAACTTGAACGACTCGAATTTTCCAATGTGTCAAAGAACCATAACTCCATTCCTTAGTTTTTAGCTCACCTGTCACAAAGTGACAGGTCGAGCTTTTGTGATCCCTTTTCGTCCGGCCGTAAACTTTTACTTAAAATGACATCTCCTCATAAACCACTAAGCTAATTTCATCCAAACTTCACAAGAATGTTCCTTTGGCTGTCACCTTTCAAAATTGTGCAAAGAATTTAATACCATGCTGAACTCTGGTTGCCATGGGAACCGAAAGAAAAAAACTTTAAATATCATCTTTAAAAAAACCCTAAGAGCTAGAGCTTAGATATTTGGCTTGAAACATCCTTTAGCGAGTGTCTACCAAGTTTGTTTAAATAAAAGCCCTGGGGTCAAAATTGGCCCCGCCCCAGGGGTCATTGATTTTCCCTATGTGCATATAGTAAAAACTTTATAAAATCTTCTTTTAAAGAACCAAAAGAGCTAGAGCTAAGATATTAAGCATGAAACATCATCTAATGAGTGTTTACCAAGTTTGTTCAAATAAAAGGCCCGGGGTCAAAATTGGTCCTGCCCCAGGGGGTCATTAATTTTCTTTAAATGCATATAGTAAAAACTTTAAAAAATCTTCTTTTAAGGAACTAAAAGAGCTAGAGCTAAGATATTTTAGCATGAAATATCTTCTAGTGAGTGTTTACAAAGATTGTTAAAATAAAAGCCCTGGGGTCAAAATTGGTCCTGCCCCAGGGGGTCATTAATTTTCTTTAAATGCAAATAGTAAAAACTTAAAAAATCTTCTTTTAAAGAACCCAAAGAGCTAGAGCTAAGATATTTAGCATGAACATCTTCTAATGAGTGTCTACCAAGTTTGTTCAAATAAAAGCCCCGGGGTCAAAATTGGCCCTGCACAAGGGACAAGGGGATCATTGATTTTCCCTATATGCATATAGTAAAAACTTCAAAAATCTTTTTTAAAGAACCCAAATAGCTAGAGTTTATATTATAAGTTTAAACATCTTCTAGTGAGTGTCTACAAAGTTTGTTCAAATAAAAGCCCTGGGGTCAAAACTGGCCCTGCTCCAGGGTTGTCATTGTTTTTAACAGTATGTGTTAGTAAAAACTTTAAAAAATCTTCTTTAAAAAAACCAATATGCTAGAGCTTTGATGTTTAGCATGAATCATCTTCTAATGGATGTCTTCCAAGTTTGTTCAAATAAAAGCCCTTGGGTTAAAACTGGCCCTGCAGGGGGGGGGGGGTATATACAGGTGAGCAACCTCAGAGCCATCATGGCCCTCTTATTTAATTATCTACCTTTATTATACATGTACTTAATTATGCTTGTCCAGAGAAATACTGGAAAAGAGTTGATGAAATTTGATTAAACTTTTACACAGCGAAAATAATCAAGTGAAAGAAAGTGTTTTTTCAAATAACCCTAATTTTTGTGTCGCCTTGAAAAGGTGATGATGGACCTACACGTACATGTAACCTAAATATTATATTTAACATGTGTGTCATAGAATAATTGTATCAACTACTGTTCATTTACTGAATTGAGCACTTTATATTTATCAACCGGCAACACCCTTCACTCATTGAATTATCTGCCCCGAAATAGAAAAAATAGTTATTTGATCCTTCATACGTCCCAACTGCAGTGCCTTCAGCACTTTGATTCCAAGACCAATGGTTTTGTCCTCTTTTTTGTATAACGTGATCTATTTAAGATAATATTTTTGGATAGTCAGTGCAAAATTTCCCCTTTTTAATTTTTGTATACGTTGTTACTGACAACCACAACATTAAATTTTAAATCTTTAACATATGTTTGACATAACTGAAAAAAAATTGATAAATATTGACAATCAAAATTTAACTTATGTTTCAGTTATATAATTATATAGAACAACAGGACCAAATATATTTCCATACCTATACTCATTTCATCTTGATCTCACTAGTGGTTATGCATTCGACATCTAATAATTTTACACATTTTTTACTTCATCTTAGACACTGCTGCTTTAAACAAAATAGAACATACGAACATATAAAAAAGAACGATCATTAAGTAGAGTTTATATTTTACAACAGAAAATCGTGCATCTTGATAACTGAGTGCGTTAACACGCGTGCGCGTTGTATATATACGAGTAGGTTTTAATTCTTTGAATGTGTTGGTGTGAATGAGTAAGTACTTGATAGTGCGTATATATACATACACTTCTAAATAATCTTGTATTTTTGAGATTTGTGTAACATTCTGTTACAATGGAAGAAACTTCACTGGATTATTCTCTTTTAAAAACAAGTCAGGAAGAAAACTTGAACACATCTTCACCTGCCTTAAATTACAAAAACCGGATATCAATGCAAAAATCGACTTTCTATGTCGTATTGCTCAGTGTTTCTATTTTGCTCATTGGAAGTGGAATTCTCGTGTATCTACTGTCGAATAAGAATAGCACTTGCCGATGTATTATTCCAGACGGATGTTTTATTAATGCGAGACTAAATTCCTCGCTGAACCTTTTATCCGGAGCTACAATGCCACATTTGCAGACGACATATTCTCGTGAACAGACGACAAATTCTCAGAATCTCACGTTGCCTTCATTCACGACGAATTTTCAAAATACTACTTCTGCTGTAACTACGCCGAAGGAATCAGTGCATGTTGGAACAAGTTCGGCGACAACTTCGCCTCCACTAAACACAACAACAGAAGTACAAGGTTTGAACTTTGTGCGTTTAGCATTTTATTTTCCGATAGATTAATTAAAACAGTCAACACGGCTATAGATCTGATGCATAAAGTACTATAATTCATGGCAAGCAGTGATTTTATTTAGCGGGAAAATCACTGTTTCGGATGTATAATTTCTTAACAACATAGATTTCTACTAGGTAAACACTGTACATGAGTTTGATCTAAACGTAAATCTTGCACTGGTATTTACGTCGCAGAATTTTAAAAACCTAGTTCATGTCTACATTATCATAATTAAACCAGAATGTTTTGGTTATTTTGAGTCTATCAATATGGTTCAGTAGCTTACAATAATAATCTAATTTGTAATAGGGGCCTACTTTAATAAATATTTTGAAAGTATTTTACAAGCTGAAACATGAAACAACATGCGAAAAAAGGGTCTAATACTTATTCTAATATCTACATCGAAAGTGTCGTCTGAATACATTTCATTCTAATTATAGATTGTCCTGACAACTGGATTTCATATGGACAGTCGTGTTATTTCATCAGTAACCAATCGGCAAGCTGGATAGATGCGATGGTAAGTGAAATAGTGTGATCATTTTCAAGTAAGCCTCCAGATTCATGCTAATTTTCATGAAAAAATTGAGAATGTATTTAAAAATAAACAAGAAGTATCTTTTAAAACGATACTCGGCCGAAGTAAATCTGTTTAACAAAATTAGGTTGTTTCCAATACAAAAAGAAATGCCAGCAACGTATGCATAACAATGCCATGATACTTATTTCGTGTAGCTATTAAGAAAATACCCATTTTGTAAACATTGAAATCAAATGATATCATATTTATATTGATGATTTTTCAATGAGGAACAACTTCTTTTTAAGGCGTCGCTTTTACTTGTTATACATTTGACTTTTGTAATCATTTACAAATTAACCTAAACATTAAATAAAGTTTCCTTTTAAAAGGAAAGGCTTGCACAGTGTTGTGCCTTCATCCCAACCCTTTAAAAAAATTTTTTTTGTTTCAATTTATTATCACAATTTTTTTGAATTACGGTATTTGTATATCATAAAGGGTTTATTTAGTTTTCTTTTTTTTTTTTTTTTTTTTTTTTGAAAAACGAATATTTTTTTGTCAAAACGATTTGAAATCTATTCTCTATTGTATAAAACTAACAAGTGTGCACATTTCATTTCCCCTTTTTCGCAGAGAAATCATTCGTTTGCTTTATAGACAAGTAAATGCACTAAAATACTTCGTTACGTGGTACCAATTAATAAGCTTGTATCAACTACATATGAACTATATGTTACACGATCACAAATACGTATATCAGCACGTGGCAAGGTTAATGATATGCATGGGCTATTTTTTAGATTACCTCACCAAGAAGTTGAATTGCGTTCAGTAGATCTAAATATAACTCGATCATAAGCAGGACCACCCTTTGAAGACGGAATACTACCTCAGTCACCATTCTCTATTGTATAAAACTAATACAGACAAAAAAAAAAAACAATTATAAAAGAAACTAACTTTTGCGTCTTGAAAAACAATTGAAACGGAACAATTTCGTTTATAATTTATTACGGTTTAAACCGATAAATCGAGTAAAAATAGAAATCCTATTTATATAAACAAACTGGGATTACCGAAGTAACTAAAATAGCTTAGATTTCCGTAATATTACTTCGTCTGATTCCGCAGTATGATGGAATCGCCCGAATTGTCACGATTGCAATCGGAACTACATCGGCTATTATCATTAATCCGAAGAGTGACGGAAAAGGCCGAAAAGTTGCGATTGGCACGATTGCATCTGGTTTCCCGTTCAATCATGCACCAACAGATGTAAGCAGGAAACCACCTAACCGGAACAAGTTTTCCAAATGAAATGGCTTGCAGCCGTGGCTGCAAGCCAAAAAACCAATCCTCATTGGCGTCATTGCTGTATATTTTACTTTAGAACCATCCTCCACACTTTATTTTATAGTGGCAAAACTATCCCTTACATTTTATCATATTTAAGCTATTCTTAAAATGATATCTTAGAATGGTAAGAACTATCCATCACATCTCATTTTAGAATGGTTAGAACTGTCCCTTACACTTTATTTTAGATTAACCAATGATTTCACTGATTTCTCTTTGTTATTTTGAAATGACCAATGAAAATTCTTCTTATATTCAGTTCTTCCCTGTTAGTTTTACAGGAAGTCAAACCGATAATAGACGACTTCTATGGAGGCTATTCGTTGCCAAAAATCCAGCCTTGTTGATCTGAGTTGATCAGTTTGTTAACGGACAAAATATAATTGTATTTCTTTGTATGTAAACTACGATTTAACATTGTAAACATGTATTTCAACAAAATACATTTTGTTAAACGACAAAACATTAACTGTTTTTCTGAAAGTAGCAATACTAAGTGTTCATCATAACATGCGGAATACTCATTGTTTGTGTAAACGCCGACAAAACAGAAGTTACTTTCTCAGCTTTACTTTGTCAAACCATCATGGTTCAGATCAGCAGGAGTTCAAAGAAGCTCTGCCCATTTTCCCGCCCACTACATCATCGTTAATAAACGTATTTATCCGCTCATTTTCGGTATTTACCGTCATTGACAAGAAGGAAACAAAAACACGCACCGGCGGAGTTTCCGTTTAACACACCTTTTAGGTGTTTAGCTATTCACCAAACATAATTCACTTGCATGATTTCCATTCCATGCCTTTATTCAATCAACATCAGCGGACTTTAAATGATTATAGGCATGTAAGTTTTGAAACGTTGTAGATATCACATTTCCTAGAAAAAAGAAGAAGAAAAAAAAACCTCCTTACCAGGTTACTTACTGTCTGAGGTTAAATATTTTCAAGGAAGTAATAACTATTGATAAGACCAGGTACGTATTATGTTAATATATATACCTGATAAGACTATATTCAACGACAAATAAATTTTACTGAGGGGATTCCAATTTTAATAGGAATAAGTAACATTGACAGTTATGCTGCTACCTTACCACTTTCAAATTTTCAAGAGAGATTTCGATACGAATAAATACTAATACAGACCAAATTCTGGCTGTTGTCTTTCTTAGTAGTAGCATTTACTAGTAACCTTAATTCTAGTGTATAGCTGCGCAAGAAAAAAAACTTTTTACAATAGTAAAATTAAAACCAAATTGGTATATACCCTTTCGTACATAACTTTTTATTTTTACCATACTGTACAGATATATTTCCCCATTTTTACCATTTTTTTGTCCAAAGGTATGTATGTTGATTATCAATTTATGTATACCTTGTTTATTTTATCTCTAAGAAGGCCATCAATTACAAAACTTAATAGATATTATGTGTAGTACTTCATGTACATAAGAATAGTTCTTTGCTTTTGATCAGAGAGACAGCAAGTCTATAGGTAACAGCTATTGACAGCATGTATACATAGATCTTAGAGCTGTCATTGATTCAGTACAATGCATAAAAGAAGACCTTAACCTACGTCAACCAGCTTACATATATTTAATAATAAAAGGCTAATTCACATCATATGACTCAAAATATCTCCCAATGGAGGTAAAACGAGATTCTAGGATACACTTCAACATAAAAATGAGACAAATTCACAAGTTTTTGGTTATACAACGGAATTATTGATAGTAACCTTTGAATAGTTCCATAGCTATACACATGGTAAAACATTTGGCGTTTTCTACAACCCAATATAGTCCTTTAAAGAAAGATGGCACAGGTTTACTGTTCATTTCTCTTTATTCGTGTTGCCAAAAGTGACTTCCATGTATCGCATTCTAGTAATGTTTACTGAATGTAAAAGTCATGCTATCGAATACTACCGTTATAACGTTTGAAGGCACAAAATTCTGTCGATAAAAGGGAATGTGGTTTGTGTCGTTATATATGGGAAACATTCCCTTATGTTAATTCACCAACTTTAGTTTTTGCATATTATTATGCTCATTATCAGTATAAACGTTGTTACATTGTTACAATAATTATTAACCAATTTCGCATAACTTAAATATCCTGTGCTAGAATACGTTTTAACAATCAAAGTCAACTGTAATACAGTTGATGTATGTGAAATTTATAACAGTTTTATATCATTTGTAATATTTTGTACCAGCAAGAGTTACCTCTCTTTATATTCTGCTTTCGTGAAAATTGGCTCTGACTATTAATTTTCGTCTATTTCCGTGATAATTCCATATATGGAAGTTGCAAAATCGTTTACAAATGTTAATCGCGTTAGAATGTAAAAGGAAAGTGTGGTGTTGTCAACCTGAGAGTGTTAACTGGTGAAACGTCATGATGCACAGCAATAAACGTGTTGTGTACGTTCTATTGTTAACATTTCTACATGTCACAAATTTGAAGTAATACATTTCTAAATACAGTTTGCAACTTAGCTAAGTTGCAAGTAAACAACTTCCATTTTATCAAATCGAGATAATCAAAACGCATAATACCAGTGCAGTATGTAACTCTCGGATCGACAATTAGATTTTTACTAATCTGTTTAGTAGAACCGATGTATGCATTGTCAAGTTTCAAAGGCTGGATTTTTGGCAACGAATAGCCTCCATAGACTTCGGCTGAAATATTTCACCTGTTCAAAGAAAGTAATTCGAATACTGCAATCGGCACTTACAAATTACAATACACGCACATTACCATGCAGAAAGGTCAAAATATACAAAAATAGCCCTTACTGCGTTACTAACACAGTAGAGATATCGTGATAAATACTGCAAAGTCAGTCTTAAATCGGACGTAACATATGTAAACAATAACACGAATCTTGAATCTTTTTACCTTTCTTAAAAAACATGTACACGGGGGAGGAAGTGTTACACGAAGGATGGAGTTCTTATGATAACTTGTTTGGAGTTCTTATGATAACTGTCACGGAGTTCCTGGAAAACGTTACGGATTTCTGTGGAAAACTTTTCTATATACTTGGAGAAATCGCGTAAAAAATGGTTATTTTTAACTTTAAATGGGGAGTTTGAGGTGCTAAATTTTACTTTGATAATTAAGCTTGCCCTACATATTGTATTATGTTTCATAAAAAATCTTTTAGTCCATATTTCGTCGCTGTTTAAAAAAAATCTGGTAGTTTTGAGAAAAATTACCAAATTACTTGCTAATTCGTACATATTGACCTTTTCATTTGTGATCTTCTTCGTTGCTTTACATAATCACCTAATTATAGTGGAGAGTTGCAAACATAAAGCCCGGGCTAATAAATGTATACCCGATTTTTCAAATGTTACGGAGTTCTTGTGATAACTCAAAATATGTCCTGGAGTTCTTATGATATCTTTTGTTACTGCCAGTGTGTTTTATTGTGCTTAATTACGACACGTTTATGCGTAGTTAATTACTCAATAAGTAAGTAAATCATTATGAAGCATAGTGCGCTTATCATTTGCACAAACATTTGGTTATGTAACGTTGGTTTTGATCGTGTTTTAGTTCCTAATTAAATTTGTGCGAAATCATATTGGCATTATAAAACCCAACGAATGCACTAAATGTTTCTGTGTATACTGTTCGTCAACAAAAGTTTTATGTCATAAGTTTCCGCAAATGCAACATTGAGGCCATGTGGCAAAATTAAAACACGGTCATTCAATATATCTGGAGAAGACATGTGTACAGTCTACATAGGATAAACAGGTGCTAAGCTATCTTCAGGAACGACCGCCTACGTGGTCGAGGGGTTTGAGTCGATGACTTCTAATCCAGTTACCTCTCTGGCGTGGGTTCGATCCCCGGGAGATGCTTTGGTAGTTTAGCACGAAGGAATGTAGTCTAGTACTGGTGTAACTCTCCAGGAACGATGGTCAGGAAACTACCCGTCCATATGACTGAAATACTGTTGGGAAAAGGCGTAAAATGAAACAAACAAAACAAACAAAAAATCTTCAGGAAAACCTGAATCAGCGGTCACCTGTATTCAGCAGTAACATGGCTTAAACCGCCAAGGAAAAATTGTTTAAAAACTTACACTTTTTTTCTCTCAGTTACATGTTTTTAAGCAACCGCCTTTCTAAAGCAGACATTAAGTAGTTGGGCTTCCCTCAAGAAGCGGCTAAGTAAATTGTATCATTATATACCATGTATCGTATATAAAACCCCAGTCACACTAGAGCTTACGATTACTTGCGACCACCGGCGATTGTAAAACTGGCGATCATCAGCGATTGTCTGCGACCAAAAACCATTTTTGCACAGATAAATTTACTTTTGCGAGTATCGTAAGACAAGTCATCATTGACAATCGCACGACAGGTCATAAGTAAACGTACGATGGTCTCAAGATTGCCTGGGATTACTTACGACTACCCGTGACATAACATGCGATCAACTACAACTTGTCGTACGACCATCACACGATTACTAAAAGACTACTTAAGATTATCAGTGACTAGTGGCAATTTGTAAAGACTGTCGTAAGATTTATCGGCGCACTTTCCGAACGACCATCGTGCGACAGCCTTAAGACCTTTTAAGATCACTAGCGACCTGTTTGATCGCAAGGAGGTTTTTGTGCAAGCTCAAAAACCTCTCTACGACTGAAATTGGTCGTGGGACCTAAATAAGATAACCTGCGACTGTCAAAGATCACCGATGACCGTCGTAAGACGTTTTAAAGATTGTCCGCGACCAGAGGTCACTGGTGATCGTGAACTGGTCTTCACTGGTCGTAAGCTCTAATGTGACTGGGGCTTAACCGGGATATCTTTCACACCCCATGCACCCCGAAATGTATGATCTTTTTATGCATAAAAAATCAACCGATTACTACCGATCTCTTCGACAGATTTGCACGTGCCCTACGGGTTCGAGCGAAAGAAGTTCGACAATATATTTTTGTAATCAATTACAGCAAAAGTTGTTGCAAAATTTCCACTAGGACTCCAACTTTGTAAAGAAAATGTATGCAGTAATTTTCCGAAATATGGAAATTGCTGTACGTCACGTGATGCTACATTGGATTTTAATAGAGAAAGGAACAAGGTCGATAAACGGCATGAACCTTACGGTGACTCACATATCTTATTGAAGACCTTACTTTCTATCGTCATATTCATTGTCATAGAACTTTATACGTTTCTATGACAAAAACCGATACCTTTTAGAAATTGAAATACCCGTTGAATACATAAAGACGCACCCACCTCATTAAATTTAGATAAAGGTAGTGCGTACTACCTCTTATTTTGCTGAAAACCATTTACATGCATACCGATAGCATAGTTACTTAATTAATGTTCTTTAAAACTGCCAGGAATAATGTATATATGACGAAATCATGCTTGAGTATTAAATTCAAAGCGTATTTTTATCCTGTAAGTAAATGCTCTACATCAAGTATGTTTACAGTCATTCCAATAAAATAAAAAAAAAAACACACACACACACAAAAAGATCAAAACAAACACAAAAAACACAAGAAACGGAGGTAAGAAAAATATCTCTTGAACTGAAAAACACGATCAAAACCAACGTTTATATAACCAAATTTTTGTGCAAATGATAAGCGTACTATGCTTCATAATGATTTACACACTTATTGACTAATAAAATACGCTTAAACGTGCCGTGATTAAGCACAAAAACACACTGGCAGTAACAAAAGTTATCATAAGAACTCCAGGACATTTTTTGAGTTATCACAAGAACTCCGTAACATTTGAAAAATCGGGTATAAATTTATAAGCCCGGGCTTTATGTTTGCAACTCTCCACTATAATTAGGTGATTATGTAAAGCAACGAAGAAGATCACAAATGAAAAGGTCAATATGTACGAATTAGCAAGTAATTTGGTAATTTTTCTCAAAACTACCAGATTTTTTAAAAAAAGGCGACAAAATATGGACTAAAATTTTTTCTAAAACGAAATACAATATGTAGGGCAAGCTTAATTATCAAAGTTAAATTTAGCACCTCAAACTCCCCATTTAAAGTTAAAAATAACCATTTTTTACGCGATTTCTCCAAGTATATAGAAAAGTTTTCCACAGAAATCCGTAACGTTTTCCAGGAACTCCGTGACAGTTATCATAAGAACTCCAAACAAGTTATCATAAGAACTCCATCCTTCGTGTAACACTTCCTCCCCCGTGATGTAGTAGTACATTTTTATCATGTTTGATTTTCTTGAACTAGTTTGGCTCTTCTCGAGGCATGCAGCTTTTAATATATAATTATCAATTATTATTATTATCATTATTATTATTATTATTATTATTATTATATTATTATTATTATTATTATTAATATTATTATGGTAGATCAGTGATGTAATAAAGGTCAAGTAGTAAGTTTGAAGAGCATGTCCGAAGGACTGCCTGTGTCTTTTGTGAGCTATAAAAAAACAATTTTCCTCCCCTAGCGTTTATGTCTTCCCTGTATTAAGAATTATAAGCAGTTATAAGAAGTCACTTCAAGTTCCGGTTGTTCACGTTTCACGATAATTATCATTTTCCCCGAAATGGAAATCTTACTGATTCATCTTTTTCCCTGACATTGGATTCTTTGTGAGGTCATGATGTCCGAAATGATTGATAAATACTTAAAATAGTGTAATGTTTAAGAAAATTTTGTTTTAGAGCTAAGTTTTAGGCTTTGAAAGATTCATATTAACTAGCTAAATGATTGGGTTTGAAGTGCCTGCTCGTATAGCGAGCATAGCTTTAACGCAAGTAGCATCCAAACTATGATGGTTTTGAAAAATTTGGCCGGATGTTCACTTCACAATCGCTTTGATGCTTTACCTTAATCATATGATTTAAAACATGTTTGTTTCAGATTCGATGTCAAAAACTGAACGGTTACCTTGCCGAGATTACATCTGCTGACGAAGATCAGTTCCTGAAACACCATATTGAAACACGTGACAGACAAAACAGTAGAGGTATGTCACACTTGTTTTAGTAAATTGTAATATGATCACGAGCGGCTGCATTATATAAATTGCGAAACCAGTAAATATTTTTTCACTTCGATATGAGATTTAAAGCTTTTTCTTGAAAAAGAAAACACATTTTATTTTGTACATAATATTAAAACTTTCGGCACTTTCCATGGAAGCACGTTAAGAAGGTGACGTCATATGCTTAAAGCTACGCGAACGCTATATAGCGTTCATTGCCGTCATGGACTTGAAATACACACTATAAATATTGGTGCGTAGGTTGCCTAACCTTTTGCAAAATTATATCACTCATATTTGTGATATACTGTGAATTGTATGTATTTTAATTCAATCGAGTATTCTACTTGTTAACTCGAAATAGAATAAAATAATAATTATTGTAATTGAGAATTATAAATGATCAAAAGGGCGTAAATAATAGGCTTTTACTGAAAGGTCTGTAAAACCAAAATAAATAAAAAATAACATCAAAGTGTACAATGCATGTATTTGTTACGTCAAAAACGAGTTAATTGTTTACATATATGTATTCATCTCTATAAGGAGTTTTAAAGGCTTTATTTATTGCTCTGCATAATACTGGCAATTGTTGGAACCACACAAATAAGTAAGATAAATAAAAGGATGAATAATTTTGAAAAGCCTTATGATATGATTAGAACAAACTATATAGTCATAGCATTATTGCAATTCCGGCTACGGCCTGAAAAGCATATGGGGGGGGGGGGGGGGTTAAAAGGAAATCACATACAGACTAGCAAAAATAGACTTACTCAGAAATAAAAAAAATATTTTGGGGTTTTCCCAGCCAATACAAGTAACAGCTTCGAAAATAAGCCAGTAGTACACGGTAAGTTTGCTTGTACCCCACATTTGCCGAGTTCCGGATTACATCTATTACCATGTAAAATGCCCACAATCTAAAATTAGGCTTCCAAAATCAAATTAAAGATTGACGTTATTGTTTTATGTCTGTCTCATTTATACTATTTCTTTTAGCTTTATTAGAAAACGTAAAAAAATAGAATATTTCATTCGCCACTTTAAACAATTATTTAAACGAACAGCGCCTTCTTGTCAAAGTCACAATATATGCTTTTGATTGAATTAATTGGTGGTCATCACCTTATTATACGGTGAAAGGTCACGGCCACAATACGAAATATGGACAAAAACTATTACTCGATAAAGGCCAAGTTAGCCATTGTTATGAAAATGTTGAATATACCAAATTTCAAATGTTACCAAATTTAAAAAGTAACCCAATTTCAACAATAACCAAATTTCAATAGTTACACAATTTCAACAGTAACCAAATTTGAATTGTAACCAAATTTCAACAGCAACACAATTTCAACAGTAATCAAATTTCAACAGTAACCAAATTAAAAAAGTAACAAAAATTAAAAAGTAACAAAATCCTGGTAATATTTCAGAATGCTTCAGTACCTCCTCAAATCAATATAGAGGCACTACAACTACGACGTACGACGGGCACACGTGTCAGCGCTGGGATTCACAAACTCCCCACAAACATACACGAAATCAACCCAACAAGTTTCCAGAGAGATCTGTGGCAAATGCTGCTAACTATTGTCGAGATCCCGACGGAGAAGGGTTACCATGGTGTTACACAACAGACCCAAAATTCAGGTGGCAGTATTGTGGCATTTACGAGTGTCCAGGTGGTAAGTGGCTGTTAGATAATATACTTTAACAAATGAAAAGGAGACAGTGGGACTTGGAAGAAAACCCTCGCTTTCCCCCTTCATTCAAATACAAATTAATGAAAATTTATTTATTATTTCAGACCTTATGAAATGTGCATGACCAATGCACTTTCAGCGTTTGCACCACCTAATGTTCTAATAGAACTAATTACTAGCTCCAATCACTTCAATTTAGCCTCCTTTTTAGTCCAAAAGTCCATATCAAATCCATATCGCATCCCATTAGCCCCGTTTTTATTTCCAGAGTCCAAAAAGGCTATATCAAATCCACATCTCACTGAATTCAGCCTCTTTTTCATTTTTAAGTTCTTCAACATCTTTATCAAATACATGTTATCCTCCGTCTAGCCTCGTTTTAATTTTTTTTGAGCGTCCAAAATTCGATATCAAATCCTAATTGTTATCGAAGTTACAAAGTTCTGTGAAAGTGTAAAACAATGTTAGTATGAGATGAGCATTATACATTGCTGAAAACAATAATTGTTCTATTTGACAATCACATAAATGTCAAAACTATATTGGACGAGGCGTGAACTGAGTCTAATATAAGTTTTTCCGATGTGTATACGACTTCAGTATTGTACTCAAAAATGTATTATAACCTCATATTATTTCTCATTCTTGTTTTAATTTTCAGAGTCCAAAAGATCTGTATTAGATGCATATTGTACCCTTTCTAGTATCGTTTTCATTTTTAGGATTTAAAAACGTCATATAAATTCCGTTCTTGTATTTCAGGTAACAATTTTCAGTCAAATTGTCCGAAAATGGTGGTGTGAAATGTAGAGGCCAATATACATTGTTGAGAACAATTCTGATTATTTATCATATATACATAGTTGCAAAACCTATATCAGACTCGAGTTGCGTCCAATATAGGTTTAACAGCTGTGTACTCATCCTATAAAATTTAAACTTAAGTATCGTACTCAACACTATAAATTAACCTAATGATACTAACCTAATGGTACTGACAATTGTCTAATATCAATCAAGAACGCATCATATATGAAGGCATAATATACTTATATATCTATCTTTAACACGGTTGTTTCCTTCCAGGGAACTACTGGGCCGGAATGGTCGTGCTGGAAGATGTCTGGAAATGGATCCAAACGGAGACTGAACTTGATCAAGGTTACACTAACTGGTCTCTAACTAAACAATACTGGGGTCTTTGCGGGGCATTAATTTCGGACTTAAAATATCAATGGAAGAGAAGCAAATGTTCACATACGGCAATGTACATTTGCGAACAGACGAAATATCAATAAGACAGTTGTCGTCTGTTTCAGAACGCTTCGTGAAATCAGACATTAATTGAACGCAGAACGCAGAACAATGCTGCCAGCGTTCTTTGCCGTAAAATGGAACTATTTTACAACAAACAATTCATGATCATTTGATATATTTTGTACAAATACATTATATTATAATCTTTGCTGGGGTATGTGCATACGCATGTAGTTAAAAACAGCATGAAATCTCCAGTTCAAATAGGGATAATAATTTAAACATTTATGTCTTGACATAATTTAAGGCTTTAGATATTTACAAAATTCTTCTTGATTTGATTTTGCAAAACTAGAAATTTCTAGAAACTCTTCACAAATTATGTGATGGCATATCCTGTTCAAATTTAAAAGTAGTGTAACTATAAATGTTGATTTTTTTTAGCGTCATCATAGTTTATTTGGACTCATACCATGGCCAAATATTGACCTATATTAATGTAAAGAGCAAAGCTATATTGTAGAGATTAGTATCTTTTAAACTTTATGGACTTATACTCACTCTTCTACTAAAATTAGTTGAAGTTTTTGCTGATGTTTTTCATGTTGAAGGGCATGCTCTAGAAAAGCGAATCTCAACTTAGCATAGGGAAAACTTTGTTTTCATGTTTTCTATGAAGAATGTGGAGATTCATAAAATTTGTCAAGGTTCAGAACTGTTCACTATTTATATGAGAAGGTGTGTAAGTTATCAGCCTCTGTCGGTAGAGCCTCGAAAAAGTATTCCGAGGGTCCCGGGTTTGAGTCTCGTTCAGGCTGTACCTGTAAAAACAAAGTTAATAACGTATCTGGTAAAACTCATAAATGGTCGTTATAAACTTAGATCATATAGAGTTTTCAAACATGATAATGATACAGAAATGTATGTCTCTACAAGTAATATTCCTGCTTAACACAGATCCCCTCTGGCTAAAATCAGATACGGTGTTGCGCCTATATGTTTAGAATCGGGGACGATATGAAAAAATGCCCGTTAATTCTAGACTATGTCCTATTTGTAAAAATGCAGTTGAAACGAAAAAACATGTCTTATAGAATTTCTGCATATGAAACCATAAGAAGTAGTTTATATGAAGAAGCTGTTAAAATTAATCATGAGTTTCACGATTGGAATGATGATCAAAAATTTGAATTAGTTCTAACGATATTGTTAGAGAAAGTTGCTTAAACCTGTTCTCAATATTAAATATGAGATCGAACCTTCCGTACAGTTAGTTTTTTTAGAATAGACTTTTTCAAGTATATTTGCTTCATTTTATTAACATGTTACTTTTAGTATTTATAATGTTTGCTATTTTTAAAGCCAATGCCAAGTAATATCTGATAATACCCATATACCCTGAAACATTCGTGTTCTTTATTTGATCATATCCTATACATCTCTTTTCTTACCTAGTCATGTCATGTAGATTTATTTTCTTTATTTTCATATACTGTACAATTCATGACTGTTCTTACATGGTCACATCATGCTTTACTTGTACCATCCTATACATTAATGTTATTACATAGTCACGTCCCTTACAAACAATGTTCTTGGTCACGTCTATACATCTATGTTCTTACTTGTAATATCCTATACATTAATGTTATTACATAGTCACGTCCCTTACAAACATGTTCTTGGTCACGTCCTATACATTTATGTTCTTACTTGCAATATCCTATACATTAATGTTATTATATAGTCACGTCCCTTACAAACATGTTCTTGGTCACGTCCTATACATTTATGTTCTTACTTGCAATATCCTATACATTAATGTTCTTACATTGTCACGTCCAATACAAACATGTACTTGGTCACGTCCTGTACATCTATTTTCTTACTTGTAATATCCTATACATTAATGCACTTACACTCTAAATCTCAGTGTTTTGATTCCAAACACATGTGAAAACACCTATCTGTAACAGTTTTAAAACATGTTGCGGTGTTTTCACAAAACACTGATGTTTCACACTAAAACAATACGGGTGTTTTCCTAGAAAACGTTTTAGGTGGTTCTTGTCTGAAAACACCTAAACGTGTTTGGGACTGTTAACAGGATTTTAAAACACGTTTACACGTTTTAATAGTTTCCATGTTTTATTTCAAAACACGATCAACCAAAAAATGTGAACAATGACACATAAACATATTTTATACACATTTTAAATAACATTTTGAAATTTAGGTAAAAATACTAATTGTTCTTCCATTACTGCACATAAAATGTATTAAATAGATCAAGACCGCCCTACCATTATCATACTAGTTATTTTTGGTATACTAAAATTAAATATTGCATGCCTGACAGAGTGACAGTAAAGTTGACAAACTTTTGGAAAAAACACTGTCAACTGAGGTAGCAATTTTCCTACAGGTGGCAATTTACTGTCACCTTGTCAAGCCATGTTACAAATCCAATGCAATATACCCGAAATTCTGTGTTACCAATCACAAAATTAAAAAAGCATTTTCATATTGAAACTTCAAAACAATTAAAAACAAGACAGTCTGAGGACAGCTATATCCCCTTTGCAGTGGACAGGAAAATCTGTACTTCTTGATCTTTAACAAACCATGTTTTTAGAGAAAAACCTGGCTTTGTGCCATGGTCGTGATTATTTATGCTAAAATATTTAAAATCTTCCATGTCAAAAAGTTATAAACAAGAATATTTGACCTCTACCTGTGACCTTTGGGGCAGTGATCTGATTGTTGCGCTCTGCACATCCTCTTATAATGGTGATAATTTGTGCCAAGTTATTTAAAAAACTTTTCAGCAGATTAAGTTTATTTAGGGGACACAAAAAGTGGACCATTAACATTTGACTTTTTAAGTGTGACCTTGAACCTTGGAGGGGTAGTGACCTTGTTGTTGTGCCTTGCTTATCATGATATAAAGGTGATCATTTGTGCCAAGTTATGTTAAAAACATTTCATCAGTTGAAGTTATGGAAGCGGACACAAAAGGTAGAATTTTTTTAACCTATGACCTTAAAATTGTGACCTTAGGGGGTAGCGACCCGATTATTGCGCTCTGCACATGTCGTTCATACTGAACGCATTTGTGCCAAGTTATTTCAAAAAATTTTCAGTTTTAAAAAAGTTATGGAGTGGACATGAAGACAGACTGAGGCCATTCTTGTAATCCCCTCCCCTCTATGCAGAAGGGGATTAAAAATGAATGTATAAAATAAATACATAAAACAGATTACAGTTATATAATATTTAGGCAAACAATTAAGTAAATAAAATAGATAGACAATTAAACAACAAAAACAAATTGATATATGGATATCAGTAGAATTTCAGGTAAAATGAAATATATATAAAATGGATTTAACTTCTCTCTATAAAAATAAAACTTTTTAACACAGAAAAGCCTACCTCCCTGTAAAATGTAAAAAAAAACCCGGTTTTTGGCACATATATGTATCATATTTGGGTTGGAAAAAAAAAAACAGTATTTTCAGACAGTGTCAAAAATCGGTCATTCAATGTTGACTGTCCCCAATAATGTGTCCGAGTACTGTCTGACAAATTATAAATACACTACATGGTTACGAGGAGGGGGGGGGGAGTCAAAAGTCTGTGCACTAGTGCTCTATTTTTTATCAGTAACAGTATATATCCTGATGGTTCATAAATATCTTTTGGTTGTGGTGCGCTTAAGGCTTAGAAAAAAAAATGGTACACTTTAGCACTCTAAAAAGTTACAATGCAACTTTATACAATATTTTGATAAATCATTTCTTTGACTCCGAAAACACCAAAAAATTTAATTGCACAACAAAGGTGCCTGATCAGTGAAAACTAGTGATCTCTGTAAATAATTCTGCTTACCACTTGAAATCAGTAAATAAAAATTTAATAAATCTGATATGATAATGAAGTGAGCATGTGTTAAAGTTAGACAGTAATACATCAACCAAATACAAACTTATCTAAGACATCAATGCAATATATTAAACTTACTACATAGCATGTACAAAATAAGAGCATATTAACATTTGCAAACAACAAATAGCACTAATACTTCTTAACTGTAATAAACAATTTATAATATATGGCATTTTAATGCTTCATTGACATAAAAATGTCACAGTCTGCAATAACATACTGATGTCATAAATAATAAAATTAGTGTTTAAACACTGCAATTATTAAGTCAATCTTTTCTGCTAGTGAATAATATATTGATAAATAACTGGATTTAAAAGTTCCTAAAAAGAAGCAAAGTCTTAGCTGTTTTGAAAAATATTGACACCTGACATTTGCTATTTCAAATAGAGCCAAAATATACAGCTTCATGTTCAGACATCAAGATGATTTAAATGTCTGATTAAGGAAGGGGAGGGATTGCACCATCTATGCAGCAAAAATAAAGGCACTGATCAGCTGATGGTTACCACACAGCTATTCTGCACCTTTGTTTTTGCAAGTGCCAAAAAAGCAGGTTTTTTCATGGTAAAAGGTAAGCTGTTAAGAAGTCAATAATATGTCCATGACACAGAAGGTTGAATCTAATTTAAAATGTTGTTCTATTTGTTCATTAGTTTTTCCAATTTTTCCACAAAGTGTAAATACCCAGCCGACTTGTGACTAAGAAAGGTTTGTTTAAATACTGTTTTTTGCATGAATCCAAGGAGTTGTGAAAAGCAGTGGGATTTCTAGATCCATTATATAATACCAGCTTATTAATAAGAATAGCCCTTCCATGAGGCTATCTGTCTCAAGTGGTATCTTGCACTGGTCTCCAACAATATACTGTTTGTCCAGTTCTATGTTGTTAAAAATAAAAAACAAGGCTTCACTTGGAGGAGTATTAGGCTGTGATGACAGGACCTTTGACAGATTAGCTTCTTCAATATCCTGCAAAATGAACATGGAATAAAACAATGAATGAGTACCATCCTTCATAACAGGATCAGGGAAATCTTCTACCTTAAGCATTTCCAACCAGCACATAATAAAGTGTTAGTTAATGTCTGCTTCTGGAGCAGTAGGTAAGAAATTCGATCTTCTGCCATGCCATGCTGAGCAGGGCCAACATTCGTCTATTTATATAGTGACAAGACAGGCAAAAAATGAGATACCATGTTTGACAAAAGAGGCATATCTATAGAGATACTTATCATATACTTAAATAAGTTTACAAGTCAATCAATTTAATATGCTATTTTGACAAAATTGTAAGTTGAAAAGGGGCATAACTCCAAAATATAGTTTTAAGAATAACTCCCCATGTCTGAACAGTGTGTCTTGTGATGTAAAGCAAATATAAAATGAATTTATCAAAGTCTTGTGCGGATACCTTTGATAGTTTTAACATTAATTCATTTAATAAATTTCAGAATTTTGTCCCTTGTCAGTTACAAATGTGTCTTGTCATGATTAGCGGCTGCAAGTATTCAAGTTAAAATTAAATTCAGTGGTATTATACAAAAACTGACAAAAAAAAATTCCGGTAAATTAACTATACCTTATGTAGAACTACAATTTATCTAGTCTTGCACCCCTTTCCATGTTTGAATCCTGTATTACTTTCTATGGCTCTTATAACGTCCAAATCATCTTTGCACTGCAACAGAAATCAGTAATTCTAAGTAAACAGAAACGCACACAATCAGATCCTTAACACAGCTTTCAATATGACAAAATGAACATGTGATTAGCAGTCAACACACTGCGTTAACAATTTTAACCATATTTGCATTAAAGTGACAAAAGCACTGTAAAAAACAAACATCAGCCACAAAAAAAGATTATGCCATGTTGGATTTCCTGCAATATATCTCAGGATAAAGTCGCAAATTTTTGAAGTCCAGTCAGACAATGTATTTCAAAGCACATTAAAATTAAAAATTACATATTTTGTATTAAAAATCAGATATTTTATATCTAAAAAAAAAACAACAACAACAAATAATCATTGTCAGAACTATTTGATTAATGTACAGGTGCAGAAGCATAATCAACTTCTGACTGGGTCTCCTTTGTTCAACACAACCTTGTAATAACATGGTAGTTTGAATCCTTTATATAGACCATGTTAGATAACCACATGATATCCAAACAAAAAAGTATTTATTATATATTTAAAAAAAATATGGACTTTTTCTTTCTATTCTATACCTTTTGTGAATACAATTTTTACCCTCTTTTAAACATTATTATATCTTAAGCCGCATTATAACAAGGCTGTGCTGTATGCATAGTAAGATTGCAATGATATCTTTTTCCTTTTTCCACAAGGTTGCCTGCCCTACCCAGCAAACACCTGACGTTGACCCAACGTTGGATCAACGTTGAATTTTGGTCGCGACGTCGGTGACCTTCATACAACGTCAAATCGACGTTGAATCCCCGACGTCTAACAGACGTTGCATTTTGACGTCGACTCGACGTCGGGTTTTGGTCGGTAATCTGACAATAGGTAAATTTAATTTATGAAACCAATATATATATAAATGAAAGCATAAACAGCGAGAATTTTAAGTTTAAGTTTAGAAAGGGAACATTATATATATTTATTTTCTCCATCAAAACAACAGTATCACGTGGGTGGCTAACGTACGATATTCGATAGGTGGCGCTCTGTAAACGGATAGTCGCAGATCAGTATGAAATATATTTGCTCTATTTTCGTTTAAATAATATCTTATCTCCTCGAATTAGTCTAAGAAGTGTTTATATAATTTACAATGAAGTTGTTATCATTTTGAGGGCTTCATTTTATAGTGGTAAATAATTTAGTAAATTCGAATTTGCGACTTATCGGATTTGAAATTCAATTGTATTGGCGGACAAAAAACGACGGGTTTGACAGACAAAGTTGTGTATTCCAAACAAAAGAAAAAGGTAGGCAAACATTATATATTGTTTTTTCAATGCTAATTTACCGCATGTTTGCATGGATTCGATGGGTTATTTGATCATTGAAATGTTTGACTGTAAAACTAATGTCACGATGATTTCGCGAGATAAAAATTTTTGTTTCCACGTAAGAACACTTTAATCATTTACTATAGAACAGTCTGTATAATCGGATCATTTTTCCCACACTATATCGCCATGCCAAATAAATGACAATCAATGGTAGGAAAAATCCTAGCAATTGAAATCAAATAAAAAGTTAAATGCAGTTACGTAAGACTTCTTATTATTCAAAATGCTGGTAAATAAAATTTCCTCTTATTTCTTATCAACATGAATTTCACTTATATGAGGGGGCCAGTCATTTACACATGTAATAATGCAGTTTTGATTTTGATATCTGTGCAGTTGTTAAACTACTCGTTGTTTAATGTAGTACTTTACCCATACTGTAAGCATACCATGTGTTTCTTATACATGTATTATGATAATGATTCATGGCATTTGATACATGTAAATGATACGACTTTTGTAAGATATATCTGAAAGCACATTGTATTTGACTAGCTATCTTTTTATTAATGTAATCAAACAACATATTATCAATCAGAAAACACATTATCATAGTTATAAATCAATAAAAGTAATAGTTTGTTAATTAGCCTGCTTATCAACAAGTTGTATGCTCGTATAATAAAACGTTTTTACACTAAGCCAGTCTGTCCTATATACACTTAGCAGACCAGATCATGCTGGGCAGAGATGATATCTATACAAATGACAGTAACATGTGAATAGGGAACGATCTGAGATATGCATCGTTTACGTCACTGATAAGAGACCTGTTCTAAAAATAGCCACATAGCGATAAGTTTCGGACAAGGAAACTGGTTAATCTACATGTAGATTATACAACATAATGGTTACGAATACTTTTATTCACATTTCTCTCAATGGAAATGATGTTCCTGGAGTTAAACTTGCGTAAAGCATGATTGAGATGGTTTAAAAAAGATGACATGGTGAAAAAAAAAAATTTTCGGGGCAATACTTTCCCTGCATGTCAATTTGAGAAAAATGCCGGCGCTTGGCAATTTGTTTCTGTTTCACTGTTTATCAAAATTAGAAATGGTGATATGATATGGCATGATTTTAAGAAATTGGGACTAAAAATGAAAAAGTATCTTTCTGTCCCAGATATACCGTACAAAATTTTGTTTATATAAATACGCAGATTGGAGAAGTCATGAATCTATCCACCAAAGTGCTACGAGTATTAGATTAATGATTAATATCTTAATTCTTTAATGATTTTAGAATAAGCAAAACTCTGCATTTTTCCTATTTTACCTAATAAAAATGCTGATTCTAGTATTTATTTTATCAAAAATAATGACCTGAATTGACAATTGAGGTCCGTGATTTAACATACACTGTTTACGTATAGACAATAAAATACATTTGTTTTTTATTTTATGTCCAACAAAATTTTTGTTTTAAATCATCCCCAAAATTACGGGGTTTTTTTTAAACTTTTTTTTTACAAGGTTAAAAATTATATATTAGGGGTCAAGCAGTTTGTACAAAGTTAAATTTAACTTAAAAAAGTAAGAGTTATGTCCCTTTTTTTTTCACACAAATTCCTTTCCCCAACTTTTTGTTTTCTAAAATTTGTATTAAATATTTTAAAATTTTGCATGTAAACAAAGAAAATTACGCTGTTAAACATCATTATAATTTTATCCCTAATCCCGCCCGAAATCAGTACAGGTGATGAAGTGGGATAAGGTAAAAAATATTTTTAAAAGTGCTACCTTTAGATCAAGGCTATTTTTTTGATGTTTATAATTTTTTTCAAAATACTTTGAAAATAAAAAATAAAAAATATCATTTTTTTGGGAGTAAAAATTCGGTAATTTTTTTAATTTTAGTTTTTCATGCGCTTATGAATTAACTAAGATTAATAGTAATTTGATTTTGCCTATTGTATTAGACAAACATCCTTTCACCACATGGTTAAATTCTAAAACGATTATATTTCGTCTTTCAGATTGTGAAAATTATGATAATTCAACATGTGTCAAAAGTTCATGAGGAAGATGAAAATATTTAGAGGAAAAGAAAAATGAAAACCTACCAAGATTTTGTGACAGGTATATTTCAAATATTATAGAAAATACAGTGATCTTATTACCCTTGATTTTATAATGAAGTTCTTCACGAAGCCATTTTTATCAAAATTAATAGATATATACAGTAGGTAAACGAAACTACATGGTTTAAACTAAATTAAAAATAATAAGTGCATGTATCTTTTAAGTAGTTGGAGAGTTTTGTTAGAATTTCGTTTAATTATAATATGGTAAAAGTGATAATTTTGCACTTTTAACTGATTATTTATTTTTTAATTTCAGAAAGTGTGATGAAGATCTCAGGTTGGAGACGTAAAAGTGAACGCTTAAAGATGCCCCAGGATCGACTTAGTGGAGGAGAGAAAGAATAGAATACTAATGAAGTTACATGAACATTGCTATTTATAGTTATAACAAAATATTCAGAATATTGTTCCATTTAACATTCAGATCTAGATTCAGTTATAAATACAAAGACAAATATACATTTAGTGAGGTTTGATAATGATTGAAAAAAATCCCAAACTCAGGTGATCAGTTCAGTGGTGATATAAGAAAAAACACATGCATGGATGTTTGCTATATAAAATGTCAGTGTTAATATTCAAGTAAGGATTTGTTTTTAACATGCTTAATTAAATACATGAAGCGTTATTAAAGTACATACCGTCAAGTTAAATAGTTTCAAAAAATATTATGTAAATCTTGCATTTGTTATATAGTACCACATTTCTTGTTTTGTACTTGTGATTCCGAGTATAAAATAAATTGCTAAAATCATAAGAATGCTTATTTTTAACCCTATTAAAGAGCTTTAAAATTAAAAAAAAAAAAATCGTATTCCAAAAGTTTTGAATGAGGTTAAATCATGGTTAGAAAATTTGGTCAGATAAGGTTGGCATATGGTCAGATAATGGTCAGAAAAGGTTGGATTATGGTCAGAAAAAGGTTTGATTATGTCCAAATAATGGTCAGAAAAGGTTGGATTATGGTCAGATAATGGTCAGAAACGGTTGGATTATGGTCAGAAAAGGTTGGATAAAGGTCATTTTATGACGTTGTATAGACGTCGGTTTCTGACATCTAAAAAACTTTCAAATCCAACCTTCTGCCAACGTTTACCCAACGTCAGGGTTTAACGTCAGTACAACGTTGGTACAACGTCTTTTGTTTGCTGGGTAACAGTAATCTTAACTCATACCTCTTTTCCTCCAGGTTTAAGTGTAGCTACTGCTTCAAACAATATTATATCTCTAGATTGTCAACAAATGGTTGGATGTGGCCTACTGCAAGAATTAATTTAATTTCCAACAACATCTGAAAAAAAAGAAAAACAATTATTATAATTAGCTTATAGATAATCATATGATAATTAAAAAAGGAAATGTAGCAAAACAGCATAGATCACCTGCCTTTAAATTTCACTTTCGAAATATTTTTATAACTATTAATGTTTAATATGCAATTTATGACACAATTAACAGCCATTTGTGTATGCTCATATATGATGTAATTTATAAATTATTTCTTTTTTTTTCTTAGTTAATTTTTTTAGTGTATTTTCCTCCACATTCAGGAAAAAGTTCTGTTCAGCAACAAATATGTAACATGGTTGTTGGGGTCAATACCAACCTCATGTTAGTTTAAACGTCGCATTTATGATTATACATCCAAACAATACTGTAAATATTACAATAATAACCATTCATGGTTATTTTTATACATACTCATAGTCTACACATTTTAGGAATTAATCTTTGAACTTTATTATATCCAAATGACTTGCTAGAAAGAACCTCATTATAAAGACTTGTTATAATGTGACATGTAAATATGCATATTGATAAAATGATTTTGTAATTTTAGTACAACATATTAATCTTTGAAATTATTTAAGCCATGGCATGATAAACCTGCAGTAAGGATGTACATCCATTAAAGACTCAGACCTGACTAGATGCCTGCATGGTTGGGTCCTGGCTATCCACTCAATGAAGTATAGGACCTTTGGTAACCATTGAACGCACAGTAAACATCTGATTGGATAAGGGGGGGATGGGATGATCCAGGTTTTTGCTGATTTATTTATCAGATTTTTATAGTCAACTGATAAGATAGAAAATCAAATTAAAATTTTTTTTCTGCAAACTTAAAATGGTGTTAAATTTTTGTCGCGGGGAACATTGGGGCTTTTAAGTTTTTGAAGTTGGCATTTTGGGTGTCCCCAAACATTAAACATTTTTTTGGAAAATCGGGTCCAAAATTTTTTGGTCTTCTAAACACAATACTTTTTTTAAATATGTAAAGGGATGGCTTTTTTCTTCCTAAAACAAATATTAGTTTGAATATTCAAGGAGGGCGTTTTTTTCCCTTTTCGTCACATTTTTCCACACAAAAACAAACTCCTGCGCAACTGTTTTTTGTCACCACAAAATATGAAAAAATTATTTTATTTTCGAAAATAGTATCAATACAACAGATCGAATTTATATCAAACTTTTGAATTATTTTCAAACACAGATTTTTTCTTTTAAAAACACACATTTACATAAACAATTTAATGCTATTGGTAGGCTATCAAAAGATTTTATATAGATGACATCCGTATTTATATTCATGAATATTTATCTGCCAATACAAAGGGATCCAACAGCAATAATAGAACTAAAATTAAAATTTTTGACAAAACTGCTCTCTTTTCTTTAAGAAAATCAAAATAATTCACAAGTAAGTTTGTTTACTGTTTAACAGAATTATTAATTGTGAAAAAGTGTGGTTTGATCTACTTTTGTTAATTTTTTCTTATACGGTGATATCAATTTATTTGCAAACAAAAAGTGAAAATATATTAACATTATTACCATTGTAAATGTTTGTGAAAATCAAAGTGTAAGGAACATAGTTATTTGCAATTAGGAAACTAATGACTGAATGATTATTGAATTTTGCAAATGTAATAAAAATTAACACAGAAAGGGTAGAATCAAATTTACTTTTTTTAAAAAACAATTCAAAGAAAAAAGCAGAAAACTGTGAAATGTTTTTTTTCTTTTCACATATGGTTTTACTTGCATCGTCCCCAACTTCAAAAATTTTTACACCATCAACTGGGGCTGAAAAGTAGTCAACCTCAAAATTTTTCTTATAAAAGGCTTTATATTCTAAAAAATTTCTGAGATTCCCTTTTGACACAAAACCCTAAACTGGTGTAATTTTGTGCTGATTGTAAAAATATTTCCCTTTTTCAAAAGGGTTTTAAAGACTGTTTGCAAGTACAGAATTCTCTTTCCCTTTAGGTTTTCCCCCAAAAATTTTTTTACTAAACCATCTAGTTGTTAAAAAAATTTATGAAAAAATTGTACGAAACATGTGATCGACAGTCCCCAAAATTAAAACTTTTAGAAGTACCTGTATTAATTTATCCATAATGACTGTTCTTCCATTACAGATATGCAAGACAGGGGCAAAACAAACTTGAGATCTTGATATTTTTTAGCAACTGTCTTTGTATCTGAACATTTTACAAAGTAAGAGTCAATATGTTCATCACATTCTATAACCACAACTTGCACAAGAAGAGTAAAAACAAAAATATTCTGGTAGAAATCTAGTCAATGACTAAAATCTTAACAACAACCCAGTGTTTTTCCTTATATAACTGATACCGGAAAACGGCACCGTTCCCAATAGAAAATAGACAGCAAATTTTCCAATTCATGACTGATAGATTCCAAATTTAACACTGAAAATTTCCTCTAAAAACAGTAATGCATGCCTCGGAGCCTTCCGTATTGATAAGTGATATACGATAAAAACCAAGTAAAACCACATGAGTGATATTCGTACCCAGTTCATTTCGTACTTAATGTTTCACACCTACTAAACATTATTTATGTACAATTGTTACAGATTATCAATTTTTTTTTCAACCTCAAGCAGCAAAAATAATCTTTAAAGTTAATAATACATGATTTTAAAGTGTATACTAGTAATTCTGCAAAATTTTCATCACCTCCCTGGATAAAAGAAATTCCCAATAAATATTTTGCATCTAAAATAAAATTCCCAATTAAAGTCAAACCGATGGATTTTTTCCCAATCTGTCCGGTACCGTTAACTGTACCAGCACCATTCCAAAGTAGGGAAAAACACTTTGACTTTCTGATATTAATTGAATGTTTTATATTTAAATATTATATATAATATAAGTGTTTTCTTTACTTGACAACATGTTCTCGATTATCCAATCAAAACACGTTGAATGTAACATGATATGGTTTCTGTTTTCTAGCTATGTTGTTTAAAAGTTTTATTCAGTATGTTTTTGTTTGCTGTCCTAAATAAAGTTTAAGTGTGGTTAAAAATTATTTTTAAAGTATTCCCTATATAAAATTAATGTTAACTTAGCCTCAATAATCAAATCGAAATTAATGGAATTATTAGAATCAAATCCAGAGAAAGCTGAATAGTTGCACCCTGACAAAGGAACATTTATTATAAATGTGTGATAATAATATAGAACTATATATGTTTATTTGTCTTTTCATTTTAAAGTTTATAAAATATTGAAAATAAAGCAATTTAGGGGGGTGGGGGTTTATAGGAAATTTCAATCAAAAGGTTTATACAGTTACTGTTAAATGACAATTATTAACACCTGCCCGGCCCATCGTGCTTCCATTACAGGGATATAAAATAACAGGGACCCAGTCGCAATGGTCCTAACTTTTGGGTAGGGCCCCAGCTTTCTAGAAGAAATGCCTAAATAACTCATGTAAAATAGTCTGGGCCCCTAGATAAAAATTGTTTATTTATATACCTGCATTATCAGACAGGTATAAACATAGTCAATCCCATAGCTGATCATTGGACATCATGCGCCATTTCCTACATCACTAAATGTAAATAAGATTTTACTTCAATTTGTTGTTAGAAAGTGTGTGTGGACAGAAATACTCCTGCCCTGGTGGACCAGTTGAAAGACAAATTTAAATTATTTTAATACTTAACAAGGAAACAAACGATACAACTTAAAACTACCCCAAAGTGATTTGAATACAAATCCGTGAAAAAGAACACCAACAGTTTTAGTAATTTTTACACAAACAGAAATAACTGACCAATCTAATCACGTAACGTAAACAGCATTCCCCACCCACCTGTTTCAATTCGTCTATCGAAGCGAAAATGGACTATATAGTACATAAAACCTAACCATTCACCTGTAAAAACGTTAAAAATATTAACAAATCTATTTAAGCAACTGTTGTACATATCTGTTATGGAAGAAACAACAAAAATGAGGCAAACAATTTCTGGCGGTTTTTGTCGTCTGATCTACAATGTGCTACATCGCCAGGCGCTTTACGGAGATATCAATCGAAGCGTACTCTTTACACGCAAGCATCTGGCTGCTATGATTCGAATTTATTTATTATTAAATATTTTATGTAATTGAATTCATCATAATTTGTTTCTGGATCTAGATATTTTAATATGGGGATTGTACAAAAATAATTCTAATTATAAAAAAAAAAAATAATCAATACTAAGGGGAAGTAACCGCTGTCAGATTAAACCTTAGTGTTGTCGGCCGAAACACGTGTTTTCAGATTTCCGGATGACAAGCATATACAAATTTTCCGACACAAATGATGTTTTTGTCTCATTATTTTTTTACATGTGGCCTATTCACAACACTTGCGTGACTTCAACTCATTCACTAATGTAAAATTATTTAATTATATATTCTAGGTTGTCCTGTGAAAACACCACCGTTTTCTGGGCATCGAACGGAAAACATGAATAAAACATATGTGTTTTCACTGAAACGTATACAAAACATAAGCATTTTATATGAAAACGTCAGTGTTTTTGTGTGAAACACTGGTAAAACACGTGTAGTGTTCTCAAAATTTACAGTGTACATGACGACGTCCCTTACAAACATGTTCTTGGTCACGTCCTATACATCTATTTTCTTACTTGTAATATCCTATACATTAATGTTCTTACATTGTCACGTCCCTTACAAACATGTTCTTGATCATATCATATACATGTATGTTCTTTTGGTCACCTTCCCTATAAACATGTACATGTATACTTAATTATGTCCTGTATATGCATGTCTTCACTTATCACATATTGTGTAATCATACACTAAATTACATCTTATATATATCCATGTTCTTACTTAAACTTATCCGGAACCTGACTAGGACATTCTTTTTACACTCATGAATGTCCCATACAGATTGAAATATCATACATGTTTTATGCTCAAGATATAGATTATGTGTGAATTTAAAACTCCATCTTACTTGTATTATGATATTAACATGATCTCCTATAACTCTGTAGAGAGTGACAATGTGTGTTTTAATTATGCTTTAAAATGCTTTTTATTTATGATATATTGTATATAATGTATCACATTGATGAGACTATAATATAAAATAAAAATAGAAAAAAATAAAATACATTTTTCTCAACCTGATGTGATATTATGCGCCCAACGGGGGACCGTGACTGTATATAGCTCAGAGTTTAATACACATTGCCCGGAAACCCTGAGAAATTCGAGGACGAATTTCATTATTGCTGGGTGAATGTCCTGGTTCAGAACTGTTCACCGTTTCAGGGAGAAGATATGTAAGTGGACAGATTACTCAATTGGTAGAGCCGCGGAACGGTATTCCGAGGGTCAAGGGTTTGAGTCCCTATCAGACTGCACATTTTTCTCACCCTGTGACAACTTTAAATCCGTGTTTGCTCTAGAAAACAAATAAAAAATATAGAAATATAATTATGTATATAATGTTGTCAACTTATGTGTTAAGTTTCTACTTCAGTCGCACACTTTCATGTCACTTCAAAATCATAAGTGTATAAAGTGTATGTTATAAAATTTTCTTATATTGATGTTACAAGTTTTTTTTGCGAGCTCAAATTAGCGCAATACTTTAAAGTGGTTCAATGATTTAAGCGTCTAGCTATCATTATACATGTCAATTATCTCTAATTGTAATCCTGTTTTTTTATTCATTTTTTTTAGAATATTTGAAATGCTTTGTGTATGTTGTAAATTGAAACATTAAAATAAGTTTAAACTAAAACTAAACTTACGCAAATCATACTGAATGAACACGGACTAAGATAAAACCCCTCTTTTGTTCATCTTTCTTACAACTGATTTAAGGAAAATAACTTTAAGGAGTCCACATTAACAATTTTAATGCACGTATACTTAATTGCTTCAGCGGAAATAAAATTAAATCATACTTATAGGGTAGTTTATTCTTCGAGGGGGGGGGGGGCGTTTTTTTGCATGTTTTCTTTTTGGAATCGATTATATTAACAAACACATTTTATGCATGGGTGGCTGATTTCTGCCATTTCGTGTCTTTGCCTCTCAAAAGTCGAAGGTTAAGACATGATAATATATATGCTCACTTATCGTGTCTTCGTCCTCGGTTTTAAAGGGTGCCGAAACGCAGACTATATATAGCTAAATGAAAATTGGGCTCATGCCTGTTTGGTCTTTGTAAATGAACACTCACATGTACGTTTAAAGTTCATGGAAATTAAAAAGAAAATCAAATATAAAAATTAGGAACAGTTTTTGAAGAATGTAACTATGTTATTCCGAATATTCCGATTAATTTCTCAAACATGCGACCTTAAAATCTGCCCATAATCTTAGTATCCGGCATGACTATGTATAGTATACTACTTGCTTCTTGAATTCGAATGTTGTTTACCCATATATATTTTAATTATTGTATAACCGTAGCAAAAACACTGTTTTAAATAATAATTGTAATAATAAAAATAAAATAATAATAATAATGATGATAAATAAGCGATGGATAAAATCAATTGCAAGAAAATGAAGAATTCTGTTGCCTGTGGGATGATAAACAGCAGCAAGGTGAAAACAAGAAGTATCATTACAAAGATACTCGTCCGAAGTAAAACTGGTTACTTCTAAGTTTAGAATGGTAACAACTATCCTTGAAATTTTATTTTAGAATGGTAAATACTGTTTTTAGAATGGTAAGAATTATCCTTTACAATCTATTTTAGCATGGTAAGAACTATCCTTTACATCTTATTTTAGAATGACCAATCAGATTCTCCGATTTCAGGTTGTACTTTTGAACAATGGATATTCTTCTCCCTGTTAATTTTACAGGAAGTCAGACTGAATTCAGATCAAGTAGATCTAAGCCCTTTCTAAAATAAAGAGATCGCACGTTTGATTATTAAAGATTTTTAAGAAGTTTTCATAAAAAAAATTTTAAGGTTGCGGCCCACCAGCCTTTTACTTTTAGTGATGAAATGGTGGTCAGTGACTCAATGTTTACGCATCACGGTGGCGGTGTTAGATAGCCGATAAACACCACCGAGAATGATAGATCTAAATATTTTTATCTTCATACGTTTAGGCCTATACAAACACAAACGTTTGATATACTAGCTTCTATATTTTTTAATCATAAAATGTTTAAAACAAAAGTTTTATGTAATAGTTATAGTTCAGATTTTAAAAAATATGGAATTTATTGCAACGTAGCGTAGCGGAGCGCAGCAATAAGTTCTATATTTTTTAAAATATGAACTGTAACTGGCTTACCGTTTGACCCACTTTCATGGAATAAGTCACGTATGAAGTGCCGGTACAGCGTTTGTTGTAATACGAGCCCCGCCTTAAATAGTATTGATTGACAGGCCAAAACATGGTCGGAGTGTTTTGACCTGTCAATCAAAGTCTTGCAGTTTTTATGTATTTTACATCATTAGTCATCATGGAGCAATCCTGCGATGTTTGACATGAATTTAATGAATATAGATGATGACTTTTACAAGAATCATATTTTTGAACCATTTCCTATCGAATGTTCTGATGTGGTCACGGTTGCTTAATATTGATATGCAGGATTTAGATGCAGACACAAGCAGGTAAATATTTTATGAATTCTCGCAATATAATAATATCTAACTGCATCATTATTTGAATGAAAATACAAATTGTAACATGACCAGGCGGGCAGCTTGCACCGAACCTCAAAGTAGATGACGGTAAAATATTCAAACATAACGTGTTAATCTGCCTAAATTGCCATTGCAATTATTAAAAAACTTTGAAAATTACATTTAAGTGATTTCTTTGATATTTGCAGGCCGATTTGAAAATCTTTTGTCGTCTGGATGACGTTAAGAAGAAACAGAAATACAGTGCCCTATAATACAACGAAAAACAACAACTGGACAGTGAACGTCTGGAGGGATTGGGCTGCAAACCGCAACCTACAACCGGAAACTAAGCAAGAGCCTGGTTATCCTATTCCCGTTGATTTAGAGCAGTTCCGTTCATGTGCAGAAATGGATTTTTGGTCGCAACGATTCATCTGTGAAATTGAAAGGAAAAAATGGAGAATTCTTTCCTCCAACAACTTTACTAAACATTGCTGCAAAGCTACAACGGTATTTTCGACATTAAACGTAACTTTGTTAAAACTGAAAATCCTTTTTTTCTCTCTACTTCAGAATATCTGCTTCACGCATGCGCGAGTTGACGTCGAAGTCAACTATTATTAAAAGAGTGGAGATTTTTACAAAATGTGGAAAAAAAAGTTTGTCATGGAATTATGAAAAATGTATATTCTGTATGATTTTTTTAAAGATATGTGTTAGTTTCGAATTTTGAAATTTCTCTCACTTCATATCTATTATTTCAGTGATCAGCTACAAATTGTTTTCTAATGTCTGAATTATTACAATTTGGGCATAGGAAATATACTGTTTCAATATTTTTTATACAATAATGTAAAATCTTGGATTGATAAATAACCGTATGAAATCGCTTTCTTATTTGTTTACTTTATTCGCATGCTACATTCATTGTCTAATTTAAAACTCCGCCCATATCTGTTACGTCATATTTGCCAGATACCTGTTATAATAAGTCAACTTATTTTCCACATACACTAGTCCCGGTATATAGTGTATGCAATATATTTTAAAAAAAATGGAACATTTGATTGGATAAGAAAGTGGGGCAAACGGTAAAAAAAAATTATTCATATAGACTTTAGAGATAGATCTACTATAGAGATAGATCTACTTTCTTAAACGAAAAAAGGCATCCGTTCAATCAGCGTTTAAACTGTATACCCGGTACTGTGACGACTCGATTCCAGGAACTCAATACAGTGACGTCAAGAATGTGTAAACACAGGTTAAAACTTTACTCGTTGGAAATTGGAACAGATGCATTTGTCTGGTATTTCTTTATTTTATCATTTCTTTTCTAATAGATCTAGAATCTAATAATAATAATAACAATATTAATAATGATAATAATTATAATTATATTATTATTATTATTATTTAAGAAATAATATATTCCAAACTGTGATTTTATTGTCAATAACATCACTGTTTGGAGTTCGGATGCGGGGAATTATATCACGAGGGCGTAGCCCGAGGATGTAATGATGCGCATCCGAACGACAAACAGTGATGTTATCAAGCAATAAAATCACCGATTTGGATATATTATTTCGATTCTAACACGGCGTCAACAAATAAATGCTGCCGTACATGATAATTAGATAAACTGCGCCTGATTTGTTTCCGTACTTATTTTCAGCGCGTCACATTTTCAGTGGTTACGTCACGTGTATAACGATTACGTCACATATCTAAATATAGAACGTCAAACTGTGATTTTATAGCATAATAATACACACTTTCGGTTCTTCTATGTTCAATAGGGCAAAATGCGGGTCGTGTTAGAATAGATCTTTTATTATTATTATGATTCTATTAGGCCCCTATTATTATTATTATTATTATTATTATTATTATTATATCTAGATCTAGTAGCGATAACACAAACTTGTATATTTTCTTTCCAAATCGTGATGACCCTGAAAAGCACCGTTGGATTACCGTAAGTTTATCAATAATCATTCACAGGTAGAGTAAAATACGTACGTGCGCAGTCCAGTCAGAATTAACGGTTAATTCTGACTGGATTGCGCAGGTACGTATTTTACTTATTACGTATTTTAATTTAACTGCACGATCGAACTCATATCTAAATCAAAACAATGGACAGTAAAGGTCAACATGTCGTTTCTTCTTGATAGATCTAGCTAACGTTAGATCTATAAAATTAAATTTATAATTTAAAGACGTTAAAGTTTGTTTATCGATTTCAAGAAAATGTGCTCTTGTAAATAAATAAAAAGGACAATATGTGAATGTACTGTTGAGTGCGAATGAAATATACGATCTCTAAGAATTTGATAATGTAGCAAAACTCAAGGATTACATTACTCATATACATCTATTTACCTCTGGGAAAATGGTTTTTTCAACAATTATAAATAAAAAATAGGTCTGATATAACAACATTGTATAATTATAAAGGGTTATATTTTATGTACGGGAAATACTTCTCTTCATGCTAATGGATAATTTCCACTGTTGTACAGCGTCCACCGGATATAGCCCCTAAAAACACCGAAAACGAAAGTAGAAAGCTGCACAACGAGTACACCCAAGGCAATGTTTTAACTTATTTCTTCATCATAACTTCATCGATTTTTCCAAACTAAACAATATTGTGAAGCTAAATATGTCTAGTTTTAGAGCAGTGTTTGCTTTTGCCTGCAAATTAAATACATTTTGTTAAATTGGTGATAAAATGTAACGTATTTGTTGACATTTGCGAACGATGTTGATATTTGCCACTAAATCAAGCACAAAACGCATTTGCTGTATCAAATTCCGCCGTTATTGCGTTAATACAAACTATAGTCATCCCTCTACTTATATTTGAGTTTTCACCCTTCAACTCGAGCTGCTTTTAACAAAATTTGCGAAAAACTGCCTTGCCTTGTGTACAGAGTCTAGCACGGATGTGTACGGGGTGTAGATGGAAAACTGATAGCGATTGTACGGGGTGTAGTAGGTTAACGAATGTCATTTTCTGCAAAATATATTCAGTACAAGAGCATATACACGTGCGCTGATGAAGAAAACGATTTATGTCGGGATCAGGGATTGTGAAGTGAATGATTTTAATTTTATTAAGGATGAAAATGTTTAATTAAATTGTCAACGTGTTACGCAATTGAACATGTATATTAATTGCAGTAAACAGTTTCCGTCCTGCTATACCACTTTTTATGCGTGACTATAATTAAGTTAATAGGGTAAATGTAAAACTCAAAAGACCACAATTTCATTCCATATTTAGTAGAACATTATGAACAGAAAATTCTATAATTTGTCTTAACCTATAGCTCTTCAGCGCTTCTTATGTAAAATTCTTCCAAGTATAATTCCTAATAACCGTAAATTATACCATACCCAGACTATGGTATAATTTTCAGTTTTGAAGATCGAATATACCCAGCAGGCACTCGACGTTGTTTCAACGTTGAAACAACGTTGAAATATGGTCTTGACGTTGTTCAACCAATATTCAACTATGGACGACCATACGGATATATTGCCAATGTATATACAACGTTGATTCAACGTTGTTTATGGTCGAAGTTTTACATTTAGTTTAATCATTATATAAACTTTTATACCACTAATTTTGTGATATTATTCCTTTATTGAATTAGTCTGTAAGTGATTTTTGTCAGGAAAATTTGCGTTACAATCTTTTTCCGTATATTCAAAAATATTAAACAAATAAAGTTGGAAATAATTTTTCACTTTCTATTAACGCTTTAAATATTAGTTAATATGTTTTGTTGTTTGTTGTTTTATTTTTTGGTTCTTTATGAATAATATTAATTAATAAATTGATATTAGTCAAAACCCCGTTTATAAAATAACGCTGGTCAGGGGAAGTAATTGTTGCGGTCTATGATTTTGTTTGTTGTCTATGATTATCGTTCGTGCAAATGGTGGCGCTGTTTGGAAAATTTGAAAACAACACGATTGGCAATTTATTTGGATTTCGAAGGTATTACCGTTATGTTTTACTTTAGTTTACTGATTATTTTCTAAAATATTATTATTCATTCTTTAAATTCTACTTTAATTTATTTTATGAAATAAATGAGAGATATAAACACATGATTGAGTTGATTTGACACGTTTTCGCGACCAAATTGAATGATTTGGGTTCGGTAGGCCTTGTAAGCATGATTGGCAATTTATGATTTTACAAATCTTGTCTTTCTTTAATTTATTTTTCATATTATTAAATATTTGTCTGTACAATATCCTATTTAGAATTTAATCAACCTATAAAGTAGTCCGGCCCACTTAATTTACGTCCCAAGACGATTCGTCAATATATATAACTATGTTTATATTTTATTGATAGTATAATACAGTGTTAATTAGTTTGAAAAAAAAAACATTATAGTGATTATTATTAAGTTAAATAACAAATTTGAGTGTTAAACTTTAAAGTTTAATAGTCGTAAATTTAATAATAAATCTATTTCTATTTTATTATATATTATTTTATATTCCAGATCCTGGAGTATTGCAGCTGTAGCCTGTATACCATACATTCAACATGAAAGGGACTGTCAGGTTTGTTAAATTGAAATTTATTCTTTATATATTTGAATTTCTTTACAATACAAAGTATAAATTTTTCAACTACTTATTTATCTTGTCTTAAAATATATTTCTATCGGAATATTCCTGTAACATTATTAATATAAAATTTACATGTTTGTTGGTTTCAGGATGCTGCATAAAATGGTCTTAGCTAGAGCCTAGAATGTTAATTTCTTGGGAATATGCTGCAAGGAACTGACGGGGAGCAGTTTTTCTTACAAATCATAGGTGAGACTTTTAAATAACTTCTTTTTAAAAAGATATTGTTGTCTTATATACAGTATTTGCTGTCAATATCAAACTTAGCTATGTTTCAATTTCTATACTGTTTTATGATGTAAATTTTAGATAAAAGCATTTTAAGATAAAAACAAATCACTTAGTTGAGTAATTATATGTATAATATGAGATTGACCAAGTCACTTTTAACTACAAACTTCTTATTTTTATTTGCAGAAGCAGTAAGAGACAGCCAAAGAAGTACTCGAACACTTGACATACCCAGAAAGATCTAGAAGAAAAGATTGGAACTTAAGATTTAGCTTAATTTTTAAAACTATTTAAGTGAATTTTATCTGCACTTGAACTGTATTTTTGAAATAAAATATCTAAAGTATTTAATATTGTCTTGATATTTTGTTAAACTTGGTTACTTTGCTTTATATCCAAAAATTAAAGTATGGTGGGTTTTCAACGTTGAAATGACGTTGTGCCAACGTTGAAGCTGCAACGTTGTATCAACGTTGAAATTTCAACGTTGTTTCAACTTTCAAATCCGAATATAAATCCAACCTTATTTCAACGTTGAAATCTGACCATAATTCAACGTTGAAACAACGTTGATGTGCCTGCTGGGTAATTTACGCAAACCCAGAAATCGTCAACGCAGCAATGGTATATCATAATCTATTACTTAAACAATTTCAAACCATGTTCGTGTTATGCATTGTGAACTAAACTTGATCTAAACATGTTATATTTGTTTATTATGTCACCGGTCTTAAGGCTTCATTGAAAAACAAACATTTGATAATGAGCTTTGGTAAAATATCCGCTTTGATTAGTTAGGTTAATCATTAGATTTATCTTTGTGGAAATACTACATTACTGGCTATAAAGTCCTTCATATTTTTTTGCAGTCAAACTCGGGTGACCTCACTTGTGATTTCGATATTCAGTTTAATAAATACAATGCTGCCGCTTATATGCTGCTGTTTTTTCTGAAAATGATTATGATGACTCTTCAATGATGATGATAACGATGATGATAATGATGGTATTTTATGTTTTCATTTCAAGATTGCCATACCAATGTACAGAGCGTGCAGAGAGACATGAAACATTTAAAGAGTCTATTCGGCACCTTCTAAGCCGACTAATAGCTTATATAAGGCGGCTAAAACTGTTTTATAGAAGACAGTGCTAATGCCGTTTTGTAGAAAATGACAGTCCTGCATTATCTTTTAATCAATTTTCGACCTCCTACCTTATGTGTAGGTTAGTTATACACACATATATATAAATATATCCCCATTCGGACCATCTCCATTCAGCGAGTTGGTTTAGAAGACTCCTCAACATGTCTTATAAATACCGACAGACACTATTCAGCTGATGGTTGTGATGGTATGACAATAAAAATTAAACGCAGCTATACTGTTAGGCTCAAAAACACTAAAA